AGGCAATTGTCCCAAGAATTCAGTCTCCGTAGTAGAACTGAGGGTCTTTCATTGCGAGTGCAGTTGCTGAACAGGGTTTTTCAAGGACAGGATAGTTCGGATTTGATTCGTCAGATCGAGCTTGCATGTGCCAAGTACACACGCATGATTTCCACGTTGTTGGGTGACAGTGCAGGATTAGCAATTGGGGATTCTGACATGTTGACCATGCTGGTTCGTTCGTTACCTAATGATGTCCGAAACTACTGTTTGACATGGAAGCCATACATGTCCACAAGTATGCGGTTGAACATCCAGAAGAGGATGTCGAGCGATCAGCAGAGGCGGGGGACGTGCCAGAACCTTCGCTGGATCCCCCAGCTGCTCTTCCTTCTGCAGCTATTGCAATGGATGTCTCTGCTGATGCACATGGTCAAAAGCGTGGTGATGATGGAACGCCAGGAGACTCTCCAAAGAGGACTCGATTCGCCGACAAAGGCTTTGCGCTGCTGGAATCTACTTTTCTGACAGATGACACGCCAGCAGGCGAAAGCGCTCCAAAGACTCCAAAGCGTGACAATAGCCCGGACAAAGGTCATGTCAGCCAGGTCACCAGCACAGACTTGAGCTTGTATGAACATGAGGACCAAGCGGTCTCTTTCACCTTTAAAGATGATGAGTTGGATGAGCTGGAGACCTATGAAATGAACTTTGAAAATGACGAGCTCTACGATGATGGTGAGTGGGTGGACGATGATGCAATCATCAGCCAACTGACCTTTCCTTTCAGCAAACATGAGCCTTCTTTGGACGATGCTGAGTTGCAAAGGCTGGATGCGCTGGCAGACTCTTTGGAAATTCAACGCCTTACAAAGATGGCAGTTCTGACAGATGCAGCAACAATGCCAGCAGATGCCAAGCAGCTGTCGACAAGGTTTGTCAGAACTTGGCGTGAGAAGCTTAGCAAAGATGGAAAACAGATCTGGCTTCGACGATCCAGATTCGTCGCGCGTGAATTTGCATGGATGGACAGTGAGCGTGACAGTTTATTTTCACCTGCAAGCAGTTCAATTGTTGCAAGGTTGTTGCCTGTGATGTACCTGGATATGAAGCAGCATGCAGAAGCAGTCATGGCCAGCATCGATGTGAAAGATGCATTCCTCACTGTAAAACAGAAGACACCAACAGTGGTTACATGCAAACTTGCGGACGGCCGTGAAGTTCAATATGGTCTAGGGCGCGTCTTGCCAGGCCAAAGAGATGGTAGTTTGCTTTGGCACCAGGACATCACCAAAGTGCTATGCGAGGAGCTTGGGATGAGCCAGCATGTCCCTTATCCTTGCATTTTGAAAACAGCCGACAGCAGTTGCTTTGTGCTTATTCACGTTGATGACATTTTGGTCGTTGGACGTCGTGAATTTGTTTTACAAAAGATGGTGAAATGCCTGCAACAGCACTATGAAGTGTCCACGCAACTCATGGAAAAACCAGGTGATGAGGTTAGCTTTTTGAAAAGGCGCATGACCCTGCAGCACGATGACAGAATCACCATAGAGACACACCACAAGCATGTTGACCAAATGTGCAGTTTGCTTGGGTTGAACCGCAAGCTCCAAAACAAGAAGTCGCCTGGGCACTCAGACATGGACCAGGTTGATACAACCAATGAAGTTTCCCCAGCAGCTGCAAAGGCGTTCAGAACATGTGTTGGGATACTTTTGTATCTAGCAAGTGACTTGCCGCACTGCCAGCACATAGTGAGGCACTTGTCAACATACTCAACACAACCTACGGTGAAAAGCATGACGGTGTTGAAACACCTGGTTGGGTATTTGGCTTCACACGACAGTATATGCATGTCGCTCAAATGGAAGGGAAGAACAACAGGCCTCTTTCATGGCTACAGCACCTCTATTCCTGGTGAGAGCATCATGGAGATCTACACGGACAGCGACTGGGCAAGCGACAGGACCAGTCGACGTTCAGTCTCATGTGCCACCATATTCCTTGGAGGATGTCTTTTGTATTCATGTTCACGGACGCAAAAGTTGGTATCCCTTTCAAGTGCTGAAGCAGAAGTTTACGCTTGTTCTAGCGGCACTTCGGATGGTATCCTCTTATGCAGGCTTGTTGAATGGATGACAGGTTTCAAGTGCAGCGTCTACCTTCACTGCGACAGCTCAGCTGCAAGAGGAATCATCCAACGCAAGGGCGTAGGAAAGGTGAGGCATTTGTCCTGCAGAGTTTTATGGCTTCAAAGCCTTGTTGCTGATGGCACCATAAAGCTTGCATGTGTGGCCGGTGCATCAAACCCTGCAGATATAGGAACAAAGCGCTTGCCTTCCTCCCGACTGCGCTCGTTGATGAGCATGCTTGGAATGTTTGATATGACAACAGGTTTGGTTGAAGGAGCTGATGACCCAGGACGCATTTTCTCCAAGAAGCAGAACGTGCATGCGATACTGAGCGTCTTGAGCCTCCTGACCCTTAAAGGTTGTGCTGAAGACAACGATGTGTCTTCGAGCCCCACAGTTGGTCTTTTGGTTTTCACACTTGTCCTTGGATTTTGTTTTACAATTTTCTGGATGATGGTGAATGGTTTGCAACAAAACCGACAACCAGAGAACGAACCCGATGCAGAGCCCAATGTCAGTGAAAACTTTGGAACAGAAGTCATGGACCATGCAGCATCTGCGATGTCCGCAGCAGATGCAACTTCCACAATGCCTTCCAGCAGTTCTATGGCTGATACAGCCCTGACAGCAGAGAACTACGTGAGATGGCTACTGCAACGATGTGCCCGAAGGAGAGATGAAGCAAATGATCCAATTCGAAAGAAGTTGTATGAGGAGAGAATTGCAATTCTCCAGGGACTTCAGGCAGCCTTGAACTCACCGCATGCCTCTTTCCGAAGTTCAGCCCGGAGAGCCCTTGGATCCATGACAGATATCAGCGACGATGAGAATTCTCCAAATTACGCAAGGATCAATGGACCAGCGAATTTGGGTGAAGCTCAGAGAGCTCTTGCTTTCATCCATTCGCTCCAAAGCGGCGCTTCAAGCAGCACAGGTTTCGTCACCAATGTTGACATGGTCGCAAATGCCTTGGGAAGGAATACAAACTATCCTCCTTCTCCTACGTCTGAATCAGATGCTGACGAGACCAGATCTCAGGCCATGCAAAGGTATATGAGTTCAAGGAGAAGCGATGTTTCAGACCCAAGCTTGTGGAACTACCTTCACAATGGTGATGAAATTTCTGATGAGAGCGAAAGTGATGGAAGCAATGCCACATAGCAAAACAAAGACTTGGTAAATGGAAACAGAAGTGGTTTCCTAGCCACCGGCGCTTGGAAACAGCTTGCAAGGCTTTAGCCAGGGGATAACTTGGATCCCTGTTAGCCTTTCGAAGGTCGACATTTACCTTGAGGAAATTAGAATGTTTCATGGTGTTGGGTCATGCAAATCCTAAAAGGATATAGCAAGTACTGGCATCCTAAAATGGACCCCAGCGGCAAAAGCATGGCTACAACTTTTCCATAGGAATTTCAATTTAGTGCGACACTAGCCAAAAGGCTGTGTCGAGGCGGGGTGCTTGTGATTTCCGTTCCATGCATCCTTGTTTACATACATGTCCAGTTAGATGTCATGTCAGGTTTTCATGTTGTGCAACACGCACAAATCGAGAAGTGCATTCCGAGACGCTTTTGCATCAAGCAAAACAATCATATTCTCTTCACACCAATACTCTCTTCATATCCCGACCCTCTCACATCTCTACTCTCTCCACATCTGTACTTTCTTCACATCCCGACTCTCTCGCATCTTTCTGCATAGCTCGACTCCCTTCACACCTCTACTCTGTGCACATCTCTACCCTCTCAGCATCTCTAAGCTCTTCACATCTCATCCCTGGTGATGTATTGTTGTGATGATGCATTGTTGTGGTGATGTATTGTTGTGAAATGTATTGTTGTGGTGATGTATTGATGTGATGATGTACTGCCGTGATGATGTATTGTTGTGATGATGCATTGTTGTGATGATGTATTGTTGTGATGATGCATTGTTGTGGTGATGCATTGTTGTGAAATGTATTGTTGTGATGATGTATTGTTGTGATGATGTATTATTGTGATGATGTATTGTTGTCCACAGTTTCAATATTTCGTAACACGGAATTCACATTTCTAAATTTCCTTTGGTCACACATTATCCCCCGACTTTTCCACACTGTTGTTTGGGGTCTCTTGCCGGGATATTCTTTTTGAAAACATCGGTGATAAGATTTTGGGACGCCATGGTGAAGAATTGGAATGGACTTTGGCAAGTCAAACAAGCGACGTTGCTTTGATTCATTGGAAGGCGGGAGGATCCTATTACTTTTGTGATTTGTTGAAATTCGATTCCACCACCGTGGCAATTTCACTTAAAGGGTGGCGCCCTCAGCAACAATGGCCAGATGCCAGACAAATTCCAACTGAACAGACCGAACGCGGATTGAACATGTTTTTTCCAGCGAAACATGTTTGACGTTTGCTTGCCCATTGGTGCGTGTTCGTGGGTGCAGCACTTTCAAATGAACAAATCTTGCAAACTGTTGCCTGCAGTTTTTCAGTGTCGCTGGTTTGGAATGTTTTGACCGTGCAAACCGCATGACAGTTCCCACAATCGCAACATTTGCCACGAGAGTTGCCAAAAAAAATATTTTTGATTTGTTGATCCGGTAAAATCCAAAACAACATTGATTGAATGTCAGTTATTTGATGGTATTGTAGTATTGCATGACATTGCAATTTGTTGCATCAAAACAATACATGTGGCGTATATTAAAGTTTGCGGGGCCCACACACATGCAGACAAACACACAGACACACAAACACATTTTTTTCACATTGCAAATGGAATCCTGAAACTTCGCATTCCATGGTGGGGATTGCAAACCGTTCAAAACAGTGTCGGTTTACAACTTGACAACGGAAAAAATGTAACAATTGTTTCTTTTTGATTTTTGGAGTGCTGTATGGAGACGACCATGTCGGTGTCACGACCTGCAATTGCACCAGTTCTTGCATACCTGGCAGTTTGTGTGACAGCCCGCTGTGATTTCCGCAGAATTCATGCCGTTCCTTGGAATAGTTGTATAACCTGTGCTGATTTCAAATGCACACTTACTATGTGTGCCGATTACCACAATTTGTGATGTATTTACTTGCTGGTTTGTTTTAATTCTTTCATTTATATTTAATATAGCCGTATCGTATTTATTTTTTTGTTGCCAATGTTGGGAATCATGAAAATTAATGCGGGGGTTTTCATGTTTCAAACGCAAAAAATCTGAGTGATGTTTTTTTTTGTGTGTGTGGCAGTTTTATGGTTCGTTGAACCTCCCAATTTCAAACAACCGGCTAATTTGGTGTCCAAAATTTTGTCAGGGCTCTCTGGAGGAAGGCTTTGAAAAGGAGCACATGAGTCCCTTGCTGATTGAGGGCACAACATGGAACAGTGCAAACGCTTCACGTGATGCGTTTCGACGAGTCTTTGAACATATTCCTGTGCAATTGACTCGAAACATCGAATTTCAATCAAGAAGTGGCACAAAACCTGAAGCAGTCAACACGACCTTTGGCGCGTGGGTGGAAACATTGTCCGAGGAGGACAGCATCCCGTTCGTTTTCGAGTTCTGCAATGGCGCATTGTGTCAAAAGATCGAATCTTCCTTTGGGATTCCAGAATATTTGAAAAAATCGTGCATGATCCTTTACATCAACGCTGGTAAAACATCCAATGGAGTTGCCTTCCATCAACACTGGCAGACTTGGGGCCATTTGCTTGCGGGGAAGAAAATGTGGTATGTTTCACCTCCAGGAAATACACCGTCTCGTCCTTTCAGGTACGAAAATGAAAATCAACTGATGAAAGATGGTTTTCAAGTCTGTGAGCAAAACGAAGGAGAAATTGTTTTCCTTCCAAAGGATTGGTGGCATGCAACGTTCAACAAAGCAGATTGGAATCTTGCAATTGGGGGTCAAGGTGGAATAGGCATTGGAGAGTATGATGCAGCGCGGAAACTGGACGAGACAAAGCTCAAGGCCATGTCCAAAGAGGAGAGGATTTTTCAATTTTTTCGATAGTTCTTCAGAAAGGTTTTCCATATTTTCCATGTTCTTTATCATTCACACCAGTTTACCAAGTAAGCAATTTGGTGGTGTCACTGTCAAGACCTGTCAGGACCTGTCAGGACCTGTCAGGACCTGTCAGGACCTGTCAGGACCTGTCAGGAAATTCATGTAGCCGTTCTCCGACACTCGGTCACCTGCTTGTCACCACAGGAGATGCAGTCGGTCCTCCGCATCGCTGTGGAAAATGGACAACACGAAGCAGTTGAAACTCTTTTGTCCGCCGGGGCAACTGTGGAAGAGAACTGGAGCAAAGTGCACGGAGCAGCTGCATCTGGTGGCAATCCCACGATGCAGCCAGGTTGCAAGATTCGATGCTTCGGTATAAGGTCTTGGGAGGTCTTGGGCGTTTTGGACATGTTTTCATCTTGAGCAAAGGTTTTTGATGTTGCCCACTGCAGACGATATGTGTGAATGACTCTGCAGCTAAGTTTGGAACTGCTCAGCAAACACGGGCTTCTTCTTGACGCCAAAGATTCGTCAGGAGCCACCCCTTATGTCAAGAGCTACTGTGATTATGACGTCATCATCGTTTATCGCTTCCGTTGCATTTGGGAGGATCCACATTTGGCCACCACAATCCAAGCAAGAACATTCTTGTGACTTGCTTGCAGTCATCCTGCGAAAGGGGCTTAGTACTGTTCGATCTGTTGGCAAATCCTGACTAATTCTGATATCCCCCGTTCCTACGTGTCTGGCGGAGCTGCGGAGAGACCCTTCTGAGCTCACAGCTGTCTCTATCCGACTTCATTGAAACAATGGCAAAATTCTTTGCACATTGTAACGCTTCGGTGTGTCTCACGATTCTCACGCAGTCTCTTCATTTCGGTTTCACTCCCTGAGGAGTTTTTACTGCAGCGTGGCGTAAACCTTTCAACGCCGGATGGCGGCAATGAGCCCAGAGATTCCATGAATGTTTTTATGAATACGACGAATACGACGAATATTCTGAATCAGATTGCGACACTCTCAGCTTCCCATTTTCGTGAGGTGGTGTGACAGTGGCACACGAGGCTGCCATGCGAGGTCACATTGGAAGCATTCAGCTGCTAAAAGAGGCGAGTTGCAGCAAGTTCAAGTGGATAGGATGACAGCAATCTAAAGCCGCCATGCCACTCCATGCCACTTCTCCCACTGCCACTGGCCATGATAGGCTTGAGAAACACAGATTTGGGTCTGTTAGCACCACAAGACGGTCTGGTGAATTTTTTTCTCTGTTACCGTGGCGTCTTCCTATCCAGACAGACCCAGAATTTTCACACATTAAGTCTGTTCGCCGTTCGCGTCTTGCAGGCTGGAGTTTCTCTCTCTGAGCCGTGTAGTCAGGACCTAAGCGCAGATTTTGATGCAAGAGAACTTGTGGATACTTGTGGGAGCTGTGCCTTACTTACTCCAAGGGCGTGCAAGGTTCGCCTCACGCAAATGCTTTGCACGTGGCAGACTTCAAGTCACTGTTGCTGAGGTAATGGTGCTACTCCGGCGCACTTTGCAGCAGCAGACGGCCATGTTGGGGTGCTTCGCGAGCTGATTAAAAGCGGAGTAGAAGCTTGAGAACTAAATGGCAAAATATGGCAAACTGTAATGGGTGTTTCACTTGGTTGAGAGAGTCGGTCTTTCTCTTGTCACCTTTGGGCCAAGGTGCAGGTTGTAAGATGTTGTCAGCTTTGTTTGGTTTTGTTACTTGTGTTACTTGTGTTACTTTGATTTGTCACAAGTCTCGCATTGAGGACATGTCGAGGCTGGACTATGCAGGGGGGACTTTGGCACACCATGCTGCCTCGCAGGCGAGGAGAAAGATCGCAAGAGCCGCAAGACTTGAGACGCCCAAAGAGCTAAGGGAAGCCCGAACTGGTTCAAGTGATAATGGATCTCGGCGTGCCCTTTGTACCAAATCGTTTTATTCAAATGCAGGGGAGCAAATCCCCAATGGATCCCAATGGCATCCCTGGTCGTAGTTCCGTGGGAAAAGCATTTGCTGCATTTAATTTCTTGCTATTCCAGTGTCATGTGGTGATTCCCTTGTTTTTTGCGTACTGGTTTCTTGTTGATCAAGCTGCACTTCAATTCAATTAGCAACTTTTTCTGCAGAGTTGGGTGGGGGAGGGTTTGATGAATGCGAATGTTTCCTGTTTCCCTTGTGGTCCTGTTGCATTCGTGTCATTATTTGCAGCAAATCCACAAATAGATTGCCGGTCCTTATTGACTTTGAAATAAGTTGTTCGAAGCGAGACTGGTTTTGGTGTGCTTGGCACTAGATGGTGGCACTTGAATCCCGTAGTCGCGCGAACTTACCGGTATAGCCGGAATTAGATCCAGAAGTCAGTGCAGGAACCCGCTCCATGTTGTCATTTGGATGGTGGTGGTGGGTTTATCACAAATGAACCGGAGTTCGCTGAGAGAGAGAGAGAGAGAGAGAGAGAAAGAGAGAGAGAGGGAGGGAGAGGGGGAGAGAGACGTATTTCTACATTCCTGGAATGCCTGTCAATCCAGAGTTCCATGGAGATTTGCAGGAAAAACCGTTTGTGTTTGGATGATGGCCTCTATCTATCTATATCTATCTATCTATCTATCTATCTGTGGAAAGACATGGCAGTACAGTGCACTTGGTCAAACCTTCTTTGCAACTTGCGTTTTGTCAGGAGCCATTTATCATTCTGTGGCAGCCATTAGGCACAATATCCAATGCCCATACTGGGCCCCGCATTTCCGTGAGAAAAGAGGCCGCTGCCACTGCTGGGACTCCGCCGTCCCTCAGTGGTAGCGGAGCCTGACATGGCGTTGCCGGATGCTCCGACGTTTGCCGGCCGTGAGCCGATGCCACCTACGTGGAGTGGAAACGATCCTGGGCTTGAGTTGCCGATGTTTGAAAAGAATGTGAAACTCTGGGAATATGAGAGCGAGTTAGAACCAAAGAAGCGTGGAGTGAGGCTTTTGCGGAGTTTGAGTGGAACTGCAAGGGCTGTAGCAGATACCCTAGCCTTTGAAGATGTGGCCTCTGAGAAAGGTGTGGCCAACATCATGGAGGCGCTGAAAGTTCACTTTCAGCCTCATTTGGAGGTGAGCCTTCCTCGGGCCTTTGAGCGTGCCGTTTACGGCGCACCAAGGTCTTCAAAGGAGTCTTTGCAAGAGTACATGCTGCGTTCAGAAAGGGCCTTCAGCTTGTTAGACAAGGAGGGGCTGAAGTTGGACGAGACGGCAAAGGAGTACATTTTGTACCGTCAAGCTTCTTTGAATGAGTCCCAAGACTTGAAATTTTCAACTTGGAGCAAGAGTAGCTATGACTGGAAGACGGTGGTTTCCTGTTTGAGGAAGCTAGATAAGGTGATCCCAGAGCACAAGGCAAAGAACGTTTTTCTTCAAGACGAGTCTGAGATCTATGCAGTGGAGTTTCCAGAAGATGATGTTTCTGGAGAACAAGAAGAGCTTGATGAGGACGAACAGTTTGTCTTCATCGAGGCTGAAGACGCTGATCGCGTTTTCGACGAGGCTGAAGTGCAGATTGCTCTTGCCACTTACCAGGAGGTGAGAAAGGCAATTTCCTCCTACCAGAAAGGACGACAGTTCTTTCGTGGCAAGGGCGGGAAGCGGGGTCCAGGTGGTCATGATTTTTTCAAGGGCAAGCAGAAGATCCATATTGAGGAATTGAAACTTCGGACCCGGTGCGCAAGATGTGGCGCTACCGGTCATTGGGCTAAGGAGTGCAAGAATGAGCCAGACAAGCGAGGGCGCAAGATGATGTCCGAGAAGATTTCCTCTTCGGCAAGTGCTGCGTCTGGAGGGAGCAAAGGTTCTAGCGCTTTGGCATCCTCCATTACTCAGCAGAGCTGGTATGTGTCTTCAGGAGAAATTGAAAGTTTTCAGTTTGAACCGCCTTTTTATTTGTCGTGTAGGGGAGAACACGAAGCCAATTTGGGTAATCAAAGTGATAGCACTTTGGAGTTGCGGGCCAGTAATGTCCCGGAGGATGAATGTCAAGGGTCTGAAGTGAAGGGCTTAGGTTTTGTTGAGCCACCAGACTCAGCATCTTTTGAGAGCTGTAGCTTCTTTTGTGGTCTTACCACGTGTCCTACGATGGCAGTTGTGGACACGGCAGCGCAGGATGGTTTGGTAGGTGACAAAGCTTTGGTGCGCTTGGAAGAAAAACTGGCAGCATGCGGTTTGAGGGTGAAGTGGACAGGCAAACAGGCAAAGGCACATGGTGTTGGTGGTCAAGCCGTTGTCAAGGGCATCATGGCAATTCCACTTGGCCTTGCGGGCACTTCAGGGTTGTTGGAAGCCACAGTGGTAGAGGGTGACATTCCTTTGCTTTTGCCAGTCAAGTTGTTGCGTCAGCTGCAGAGTGTCATAGATTTGGAGAACTCCTTTATCCATTTTTCTTCTTTGCAGAGATCCACACAATTGCACTGTTTACCAAGCGGGCATGTCGCAATCGATGTTTTAGATTTTGGAGCTGAAGGTTTTAGGTGTCCGGAACAAGCAGCAGTTGATGGGTATGGTGATGATGATTTTCGTTTGACTTTTTGCCCAAGCAATTCGCAAGGTGTGATGTTCACCACGCCCAACATTCAGTGTGCGTTCCAAGTCTGCAATCAAAGCAATGATTGGCCTCGAAACATTTCGACGTGGCTTCAACCGGCGCCGAGACGATGTGCCGATGGTGCAGGCTGTGGAACCAAAGCCACCGCCAAATCCGAAGGTTGCTCTTCGAAATTGGCGAGCGTTGCTGGACAAGGTCTTCATGGTGCAAAGCCTAGTTGGCTTGGAGGAGTCGGTGCAATTGTGGCTGCCGTCGGGGACAGATGGGGATCAGCAGCTTTCCCTCACATCCTCCGAGCAGCTCGCAGAGTTCATCCAAGCCGCAGAAGAGATGACCCGTTTGCACACGAAGACCAAGCCTCCCATGGAGCCAGAGATGTGCGACCACCCCGGAGTCAGATTGCAGAAGGGTGGAAACCAGCATGGAAAGTGGGTGATTTGCCTGGATTGCAATACCAGGTGGAAGATTCCGATGAGCCCCACAGCAAAGTTGAAGCCCAAGTCTGCTGCGAGGAAAGTCAAGGAGGAGCAGGTGAAAGAAGAACCACTTTCGAGTGCGGCGAGTTCAGCAGCAGAAAGGTTCAATTTGCAGAAGATGGAAGAGCAGATTCGAAAGAAGGTGGGTCTGGAACATCAGGCCCAATATGCGGACGCCTTGAAGATGATGACTTGTGCAGTGGACGAGAAGAGCGAGCAGGCCGAGCAGATCAAGACCTTGAAGATGGAGCTGATGCAGACCCAGCACAACCTACGAGTGACCACCCTGATGGCAGATTCTTATGGAGCGATGGCAATCGGCCAGGATTATCAGGAGTACAAGGGGTACCACGATTCAGAGATGTGGACCTACTCGGAGAAGAGGTTGGACAATCTGGAGGAGCTGCAGCGTTGCGAAGCGCTTCAGCAGAGCCTGCAGCACGAGGAGGCAGCATCAGCAGCTCAAGGGAGCTCAGTGAGGAAGGTCAAGAAGGACGCGTCGCCAATGAAGACGCGGGCAAGCTCCTGGACTCGCACTGGGAGACATGGGTACGATTGAGTGGCCCTGGTGACACATGCAAGAAGGTTGAGGAGATGCAGAAATCTGGGCTTGTGCTTTTTGAAGAGCTCTATGTTGAAGATGGTCCTCAAGCCTTCTTTCCGGTGACTCCGGAGGAACTTCTTTCGGATGATGTCTGTGTGCTCAAGGTCGCTTCAAGTCCGAGAGTGGACTTAGAAGAGCTGGTGGAAGAAGTGGAAGAGACAGCTTTGCCAAAGAAGACCAAGACAGCTTTGAGGAAAGCCGAGAAAGAGTGGGCTTCTGAACAGGCCTGTTTTCAGGCGGATGTCAGTGAGGTGTACAGTCAGCCGAGGCTGACTAAGCTTGCGCCTTCTCTCAATCTTCGTCCAGGAAGAGCTTACGACATCAAGTGCGGCTTCGATTTGAGGCAAGAGTCAGAGATCAAAAGAATGTGGCGAGCTCTAGAAGAAGATGATCCCGAAGCAATTCTCACTTGTCCTCCATGCACTCCCTTCTCTTTGCTTCAGGAATGGAATTTTCCTCGCATGGCAGTGGAAAAGGTTGCAGCGATGTTGTGTGAGGGACTGCACCATGTGAGGTTGGCAGCTCAGATCTGTCGCTGGCAACATAGCAGAGGAAAGATCTTTTTGTTTGAGCATCCTTTGACTTCAAAAGCGTGGGATGAGCCTGAGCTTCAAGAGCTGATTGCAATGCCTGGTGTCTATGTGTGCACCACTCATATGTGTGCATATGGAATGCGGATTGGTGGCGCTCCAAATCGCAAACCCACAAAGTGGATCACAAACAGTTATGAGGTAGCCAGGGAGTTACAGAGGCGATGCAATCAACAACATGTTCATGCACAGTTGTTAGGAGGCAGAGCTCAAGAGGCAGAGGTTTATCCACCGGAATTGTGCAAGGCAATTCTGCGTGGCATTCGCCGTCACTTGGAGGAGCCGAAGACCGAAGTTGGAGGTGAGAAGGTACAAGAGATTTTTGTTGGTGAGGATGAGGTTGACATAGAAGAGCTTTTAGATAGAGAGGTTCAAGATGCTGGCATGGAAGTGAGAGGGTCAGGCGAAACAACAGGAGAGACAAATGAGGAGAGTGATGAGGAACCGCAAGGTGTTATGGAGAGACCACGACGCCCAGAAACTCCACAGATTGGGGTGACGGCAGAGGACCGGCAAAAGATTCGACGTTTGCATGTCAATCTAGGGCATCCTAGCAAAGAGAGCTTTTTGCGTTTTCTTTCAGCTGGCAGAGTGAGGAGAGCAGTTTTGGATTGGGTTAGAAGAGATTTTCAGTGCACAACGTGCGAGAGTCAGGCTGTTCCAAAGGCGCCGAGACCGGCGGTGGTGCCCAAAAGTTATGCACCTGGAATGGCGGTGGCGGTTGATCTCTTTTTCATTCCTGATGTTCTTCATCAACGCACTCTCCCTGTCCTCAACATTTTAGACCTTGGCACAAACTATCAGATGGTCGAGATTATCCAGAGCAAGGATCCAACGCATATTTGGCACTCTTTCTGGAATGTTTGGGGTCGCACCTTTGGTATGCCCCAGTACTTGGCCATGGATGATGTTAGAGAATTTCGAGGTGCCTTCACTCGTTTTTGCGCTGCAGCTGGAATTGTGACCTTCCGCATTGCTGCAAGGGCGCCCTGGCAGCAGGGCAGGGTTGAAAGACATGGAGGGCTGATGAAAGAGCTGATTGAGAAGTGTCGGAATGAGTTGCCGCCGACGTCCATGACAGAGCTGGTGCTGATTTTGCGAGAATGTGAGTGCGCAAAGAACCGCTTTAGCAACAGATCTGGCTTTAGCCCGATGCAGAGAATGACAGGGCAGTGGCCCAGAATGCCAGGAAGCTTGATGAGCGATGAGGAGCTGGATCCAGCTTTGCAAGCAGAGAATCATACAGATGATTTTTCCAGGTTAATGGAGGCGAGAAGGGTCGCCCAGCAAGCCTTCATCAAGCACACCAGTCAGACCGCGGTTGGGAAAGCTTTACATGCGAGGCCAAGAAAGCAGTTGAGTTTCAGAACAGGAGACTTGGTTTATGTCTTTCGAGCTTTGAGAAGGCCAAAGAGTGTGCGAGGTCAGATCCAACCTGGAGGAGCACAGGTCGCTCCCAGAGCGAAGTGGGTTGGTCCGGGCTCGGTGCTGGCAGTTGAAGGGTCTGTGATCTGGATCAATATGATGGGCGAGCTTTGGCGAGCTGCCGCTGAACAGGTGCGTCTAGCGACCATGGACGAAGCTATGGGTGCAGAGATTGTGAATGAGCATTTTGATGAGATGAAAGAAAGGTTGAAGCGGAGTTCGGAGCGCGCTGGCTTCAGAGATGTCTCAGGCGGGCCTATACCGCCATTAGAAGAAGAAGTTGAGGTAGAGATGGAAGAAGACCAATTGGGAGAGGCGTTGGATCCAGTGGTTCAAGAAGGTGCAGAGCGTGGAAGGCCAAGACCTAGGGTTGGAGAAGCAGAAGAGCCAGCCCCAGACGAGGATGAAGACTTCGAAAGTGCAGCGAGAGAAGCAGCACAGTCAGGACCTCCGTCCACTTCATCTACGTCGTCATCTTCCAGCTCAGAGTTTGATGATGGTGCGCGAGGTGGAGCAGAAACAACAACAGAAGGAGGCGAAAGAGCAAATGTGTCCAGAAGGGCTTCGACAGTTCTGGAGCCAGAAGGTGAGGCCCCAGTTGAGGAAGTGATGGAAGATATGGTGGAATCAGTAGCGCGCAATGAGCGGCTCGATGGAGTCACGGGCTATGATGCTTCTAGAATGAGGCAAGTGCTGAATGCTCAGTGGCGTAAAAGAAATTCAGCGCCATACTTCAATGAGATTGAGGTATTCTTTGCTGGAGAGGAGGTTGAAGAGGAAACAGCAAGGAAAAAGGCAGAGTTTCAAGCAAAGAGAGATTATTGGATCTTCGACTCTCAAAAGAACGTGTTGCAACGTCATCATGTCCATCGTCGAAAGGCTCTTTTTAGTCCGATGCAGGCTGAGGAGTGTCCAGTGCCGCTGAGAGCTTTGAAGAAAGAGCGCAGAACACAGATGATTCAAGATGACGGCAGTCTGGAAGAGGTCAACGATGAGTGGTCTCTTTTTACAAAGAAGGAGTCAAGACATGCATGGTGGAGAGGAATCACAGAGTTTTCAGTGGATGAGCATTACCTTTTCCAGCAAGATAAGGTGAAGGTTTCGAAGCAGAAGCGAGGAGAAGGTGAGGTGTTTCCTCATGAAATTGCACCGTCCGAGTGGCCGGAATGGGAGGTGGAAGACAAGTCAGAATTTGAAAAGATTGTCAAGAGCGGTGCTTTGAAAGTTTTGAGTGTAGAAGAATCCAACAAAGTGCGAGAGGAGTTGCGACGACAAGGGAAGTTGGACAGAATACTTCCCAGCAGAATGGTGAGGAGGTACAAGCCGGGTGATGCACCGGGAAAGCCTCGTACCCGCAAAAGCAGGTTTTGCATACGAGGAGACAGAGACCCAGATGCCATTCACTTGAGTCGTTTTGCTCCAACAGTCACCACTTCAAATTTGCAGATTGTCATCCAGGTGGCACGAAATTTGGGCTTTAGAGGAAAGGTTGGAGATCTCAAATCTGCGTTTACTCAAAGCATGCCCTTATGTCGTCAAGAAGGTCCCCTTTACTGCAAATCATGTCATGGAAGCATGCCAGGACTTCAAGAAGGACAACTGTGCCAGATCATACTTGGATGCTACGGTTTGATGGATGCCCCGTTGAACTGGAGAAAGACTTTGGTGCAGTTTGTGACAGAAGAGCTCAAGTACAAGCAAAGCGTTCTAGACCCATGCACGTTCATGCTGTATGAGGGCTCAAGGTTGCGAGGCATGTTAGCAATAGAGGTGGACGATTTGCTCATGTTCGGCGATGAAGAACATGAAAGGCGCATGAGGTTGTTGCAGCAGAGGTTCACTTTTGGAAAGATAGAGGAGATAGATGAGAGAGGAGTGAATTTCAATGGCAGACGTTTGAGGCAGGTTGGAGAAGATGTGCTCATTGACATGAAGGCTTTCATAGAAGAGAGGTTGCATCCAGTTAAGTTGGATGCAAAGCGCGCAAAGCAGAAGGAGTCAAGGCTCACTGAAGAGGAGGTATCGTCAGTGAGGAGCACATGTGGTGCTTTGAACTGGGCGGGCAGAGAGGGCCGCCCAGACGCGGCTGCTGCCGCTTCTCTCTTTTCGTCAATGGTGACTGAAATGAAAGTCAGCGACGTTTTGGAGCTCAACAAGGCAGTAGATCAACTCAAAAGGACTTCAGACATGGCTTTGCGAATCCAGCCCTTAGCTCATATGTGCTGGGGAGTCGTCTCGGATGCTTCGTATGCAAATGCAAGAGGAGGAAAGACTCAAGCAGGACACCTTCTCATTACGTTTGAACAAGGGTTATTAGAAGGCAAGAGGGTGAAGACAAACGTTTTGCATTGGAAAAGTGGAAAATTGAAACGAGTGGTTTCAAGCACCCTGGCAGCCGAGACTCAGTCTTTAGGGCGAGGCATAGGAGATTTGCTTTGGATGATGGTGATGTACTATGAGTTACTGCATGAAGAGTTTGAGCTTAGAGCGTGGCGCGAGTATGTCAAAAGGCAGAGCTATACGGCCTTTTCGAAGCATGAGAAAACAGAAGATCTGGGCGACGTGTTAGCATTGGTAGATGCGAAATCCTTGTACGACTTGCTGATCAATGAGACCATAGGTGGAAGTGATCGTAGAAATGCACTAGACGTTCAAGCTTTGAGAGAAGAGTTGAAAGAATTGAGTGGAAAGATCAGATGGGTCGACCATCCACATATGCCGGCCGATTGTCTGACCAAGCAACTTGGAAAGTCTGAGGCTTTGCGTGGCATTTTGGAAACGGGGATGTTTGGCATTACCGAAGAAGCGATCACGTTAGCTGAGAGATCTGATGTTAGAAAAACCGGAGGTTACAACCGACGGTGAGGTTTTGACCAAAGAAAATTTCAGGTGCTGTGGAAAGACATGGCAGTACAGTGCACTTGGTCAAACCTTCTTTGCAACTTGCGTTTTGTCAGGAGCCATTTATCATTCTGTGGCAGCCATTAGGCACAATATCCAATGCCCATACTGGGCCCCGCATTTCCGTGAGAAAAGAGGCCGCTGCCACTGCTGGGACTCCGCCGTCCCTCACTATCTATCTATCTATCTATCACCAAATGATTTCTGCAAAACGGAACTCCAATATGACAAAACGGAGTTCCAATATGTATCGAGAAAAAATAATAAATACACACTTAGAAAGTGCAAAAACATGGTTGGAAGTTGGAAGGCAGAGGTCCGGGAGAGGCGGTAGGCATGTAGAAAACAAGGCCAGGGTTGGGCATTGCGTCACGTGGCTCCAGGGCCATGTTGCTGCTCTTCGGTTTCTCCTGGATGAGAAGTTGCCTTCAGATCCAGACGTCTCAGGCCGTACGTTGATGCACGAGGCTGGGATGGGATATGGGATGCTTGGGTCTTGTGAGCGAAGTGGAATTCTCAAAATCAGTTTTAAGTTGTTCCAAGATGTTCCAAGTATTTCAGTATTTCCAAGTGAGATGTCGTCGATGTCTTCGATGTCTTCGATGTCGAAAAGTTGTCGAGGCCGCTGCCACGGGCTTCCCTGCTGTCCTTGATGAGCTGCACCAGCGAGGTCATGACGCTAAGGCCGAGGACTTCTCGGGTCGAAGTGTGGCGCAGAATGCCGCAGAGGGCGGCCACATCGAGGTGTTGAGCCTTGGATGCAACAAATTGTTGAGCCAGTCACATCCATGCCATGACATGCCATGACATGCCATGACCATGACCTGCCAAAAGGATCCAAAAGGATCCATAACTGGCCAAAAACCATGCCATGACCATATGCCATGGGGACGCATACCAATGCCCATTGCGCAGGCACCAGGTCCTCTCGGGTTCTGTGGGACTGACTCACAGAGTCCCTCTCCGGTGGTTTTGCAAGTCCTTTATTTTTGTTTATTTTTTGGCATCTTTAGCTAATAATTAGAACTTCTGGTGAAAATAGGAACGTCGAACCCATAACACTTAAGAGGGATGAAGCCACCAAAAGTATGCTTAGCTGGTTATCCAATCTTATCCAATCTTATCCAATCTTATCCAATCTTATCCACTTGTCCTCGAAGACTTGGATTGTCTTGAACCAATATGCTCCAGGTGGGCTCATGAGGCTAGTCCCGGAAGGTTTTGGTTCGGCTACAAGTGTAAGGGAACTGTGTAAGGGCGGCAAGACATGTAGGCCAGTTCTTCCACTTTGGCAAGTTCCTAAGTCCTCGGATTACAGATCATTGTAATGCGGTTGGGCTCAGAGTTTTTGAGGTTTCGAGGCAGAGTGTTTGCGGGGATGAACAGCCACCAAACCTCCTGTTCCCTCGATCCTCGAATCATATTGGACATGTTTAGGCTATCAGTGTGCTGTGTTGCATTGGACTCAATGGGACTCTATTAAACTCTATTATCTCAATCATTCATATCATTCTGAATCTATCTCTTGGTTTGGTGCAAATCTTGGCTTCTGAGGAGACAGCTCAGGCGTTGGGGTGTCGACCTGAAACATATTGACCGCGAATTGGTGGGCCAAGAAGTGCTTGAGTTCCTTCAATCATCCGAACTATGATGCGACTTTGTTTGCTGATATGATATAATCGTTAAGTTTCATAATCGATGACAGTTGGCACAAGTTCCAGATGTCCAGGCGCTTTTTGTAATTGACGCTGGGCGCCTTTGACATGAGTCACTATGTTTTGGAACAGCAAGTTTCCAAGACTATGTTCTCAGGTGTTGGCTGGTTTCAGCTGATATCGGCCTTAGATAGGGTAGGTGGGCTACAAACGTGAGACGCTGCCAAAAGTGCCATGCCAAATGTTTCATTTTTGCATTCGGTTGAAATGTCTTTCTTGTTATCACATGTTGCCACTGGATGGTTTTGGATGGTTTTGGCTGGTGCCGTTCAGCCGTTACTGGCTTCCAGTTTTGAGTCGGAAGAAACTTTGCCCGGGAAGCGTTGCTGCACCTCAAAGGCAGTTTGGAACCGCTGTGGTTTCGCTTCTAAAAGTGGCAGACTGGAGACAGACTTCCATGCTGGATACTAGTTACTAGATGAGGCTATATGAGGCTATATGATGCTCTATGATGTAAATGATGCTATATGCTATTGATGTCTATTGATACTGTTGGCTTTTATATCACTACATCATAATTGATAAAACATATATAAGATATTAGACTATATGAATTGTATGCTGCTTTGTATTGCTTGCATATCTGTCGAAAACACCCAAGTGTTTTCATTGCCAGAGCACAACTGAGCTAAACAGCTGCATCCACCTGTGAGGTGCGTGGCGCAGCCACCATGGGCAAGTTTCGGCTACTAGATCTCGTGAAGCCGTGCATGTGCGTCTTGCCGGAAGTGAGTACGCCAGATCGAAGGCGTGGGGTTGCTGGAGTGGAGTTTCGCTTGGGTTTCTCACATTACTTGCTAAGACTTCAAGAGCAAGAGCAAGAAAGAATGAAACTGAGCTGAGCTGCGCCCTGTCTCTCTCACAATGCCACAGCAGAAGGATCCCCTTCCGTGAGAAGATCTTGTGGACGGGAATTTCCCTCTTCGTTTTTCTGGTGTGCTGCCAGATACCGATTCTAGGCTGCAACATGCTGCAACTACACACAAACACACACTCATCACACACTCCAGTAGTTGCTTAGTCACTGCCTTTTTTCCATGACTTACGCTTTACCAATTCTTCTGTGTGCAAAAGTTGCAGTGCCGTTGGCGACGCAATTCATGCACAGACAAGAGGTTCCCTCGGTATCTTCATCATTGATCCTGTTGATCCTGTCCTAGGCTATATGGGATTTCTGCAAACAAGTCCACAGAGCCATGGCTGCATTGAGACATTGATGAGACATGTTGCCCGGTTGACAGAGACTTTCTGCTTTCGAGATCATTCCTGTGCTTGGGATGATCTCCAAAGGAACCTATCAAGCATATCATAACATATCATAACATATCGTAACATACACATATCATCACATATCTAAATGATTCTAAATTCTAAATGTATCTACGTGATGCTGAGGACTTTACCTAGGACATCTTAAGACATCTTTGGGCATTTGTCTAAGGACCCATTCTACTGGATGCGGGTGATCCTAGCTTCCAACCGTGGCACCTTGATGGAGCTAGGCATTTCTCCGATTGTCACCTCAGGCCACGATGCAAAGATCTCGCTGCATTCCTGACATGTCCCCATCATTTGTACAGGTCTGTACAATTGTCATCAATTGTCTCTACAGCATCTATGTCTGTCTTTCGAACATAGGAAAACCACGTTACATACTTCCTTAGATTGCTGTGTCAAACAACTAGACTATATTGACCCTAGAAAGATTCCAAAATGTCTGTGCAGGCTGTTAGTTTGTCTTGCTTTGAATCTTTATTAGTCAAGCTGCCCGAGATATGATCTGTACATAACTCAAACATACTCAAGCCGTGTATTGTAACTTTGTCATTGCAGGAATGGTGATGCAGCTGCTAGCCGGCTCCAAGCTACTGGAAGTGGACCAATCAGTGAAGGACTGCTGGGACAGAAATTTAGCCCTGACATGTTGGAAAATGTTGGCAATGTATGCAGGAGGATCGCATGCTCTTCCAAGGTGCACAGAAGCTCTTTGGTATGGCTTCTAGGCTGAAGGATGTGAGGTCGAATCATGTGGAATTATGTGGAGTGTTTCGTTTTTTTAATCCAGACGTGTTCCCCAGCGCCATCTTTCTACTAGCTGCACTAGCTCAAATGTCTGAATGCGCCAAGGTCATCACTTTGGGCGAAGCTATGGCATATGTGCTGAGCGGTATGTACGGCCCAGTCAAGGCATCGGGACAAGTCGGGACAGTCGGTTCTCAACTTTTCATCTTGGTGTTTGGTATTGACAATCGACTTGGCGACAGGACTTGGGGGCTGGAAATGCTATCCTCATCATCCTCCAACTGTTCTGCGCTGGAGTCATTGCATCTTGACGACATATGAATCATATGACGATAGAATGTGTTTTCCTTCGCCTTCCATGATCAGAGTTTTAGTGTGGTTGGTTTGATTCCAAGAGTTTTCCTCAGGTGTTGATCTTGGATGAGCTGCTGCAAAAAGGCTACGGTTTGGGATCAGGCTAGTGTGCGGTCCGTTGTGGAACACTGGTGGATTTTTGTGGAACATATGGTTTCCACATGTTTCCACTGTTCGGAGACAACTCTGTTTTAAACTTGTTCTCCTTGCAATGCAGGCATTTCGCTTTTCATTGCCACCAACATTTGCAACTTTGGCGAACGAGCTGTCTAAGATACAGCAAAACACATGCCATCCGTAGATTCAATGAGAACAGGGTGTTTCAAAATGCTAGACATTTGTGGTAGGAGGGCCAGGGTTGATAGCTCAACCCAAGGTGAGACTATTTGCTGGAAGGCGTTCAGCCCAACCACAATGAACACAGGCGCATGCGGCGCATGGGAAATTTTGGCTGTCCGAATCAATATCAGCAGTTGCATCCTGCGCAAGCTCCTTTCGGGTGTGTCGCCTCAGGAGTAGAGCGCCTGCAATCGATCATGCAGTCATTTTATGTTAAGACATCTATTTGTTTTCACACAAATCCAAGCTATTTTATCAAATTTAATCAATTGATTAAGAAAAGGATGAAAAGGCTGCGACTTTTTACTTTTCTATCATGCAATGAATTTCAATGAAGTATGTGTTTTCCTTTTAAACGGAAGCATAGACAAACTTACCAGACTTACCGCGCACAAAGATGCAGAAAGAGGATTTGTTTCTAGTTGCAATACTGTGCTTGGACACTTGTGTCCCGCTGACCAGTTTTGGAAGGCAAAGGCCCTGAGTTTGAGGGTGCGGTGATTGCTTTATTCCATTTACTGATATCAAGGACAGGCCCAGCTACTGGTTCCAGTTCCGATTCGTGGAACTTCAAAACGCAATCGAAATCCACGCAAACAAAGATGTTTGCAGTTTGCCAGGAGTGACAAATTCACTGCGTTGAAGGAAGCTTTCTATCGGCAAACTGCACCAAACATTACGTCTCTTTTCGCGACTGCCCCTTGGCCGGGAAGTGGAACTGGAAGGGTAGGGCCATGCAAAGAAGAATGAATTCAGTGGAATGCAGCTGAATGTGCAGAATAAAGCTCTCTATGCTCTCTTGGATCTTAAATTCTCCAAAAGATCCAAACTCCCGAGCCAAATTTCTGATTTCGATGGCCAAGGTCCTTGTCTTCTTCTTTGTCATTTATTTCCAAGGCCCCGAGTTCAATGCTTTTCAGCAACAGGCAGTCTGAATGGAAGCGCTCCTGAAAACCTTGAAATGCCGCTGTGCGGGTTATGGAAGGCTTCCGAGTGGACCTGGCAGTGAAGAACCAACGGGTGGCGCAGTTGCAATGCTGAGAGTTGCCCAGCATAGAATCTACCAGTGAAATGGTGAAACGGTGAAACGCGGCTCAGGTTCGTGGTCAAATGGGGTCCTATCCCATCAAGCTGTTCTACACCTCCAACATTCCCATCATCCTGCAGGACCCAAGTCTCGATATGTCTCATTGGATTTTCTGAGTACCGACATGTCTGTGACCTTTCAAGGCGTGTTTGTTCCAGTCCATAAGCATCCCTGTGCTTTGCGCCAGACAGCGCTTGTGTCCAATCTCTATTTCTTCTCGCAGTGACTTGGTGGAGGATTGAATGATATTGAATGAAATGTTTTGAGTCAACAGTCTGTTTGAATTGAAGATTGGCTTCAAACCATGCGGAATGCTTGTTGAAGGTTGCTTTACAAACGATTCAAAGTCCTTGGCTCAGCAGATATATATTCCCTGGGACCGCTGACAAAAATGAACTGAGCAAACGGCTTTTGTTAGGAAAGAACGCTTGGTGTGACCCAGAGTTTCATTGACAAGTGGCGATTTGCTGCCTGAAGCACTTGCTCATCATGTTTCAGGCGAACATGATTGTGAACATGATCGGTCAGTGGCAGGACTTGACAAGGTATGAAGAACAAAGATCAAAGGTATTTGGCATCATTTGGCAAAGGCATAATGGCCTAGCCCGGGCTTGTGTTTAGATAGGAGCTCGAGTTGTTGACCCCGAGGAGACTGAAATCACAGGCCAATCAATTCCTGTGGGTGGCCTAGTGTTCCTCGGCGGCATTGAAGCGGAAGAAGGTGGAAGAAGTTGCAAACTCACGCAAATTCAATGAGCAAATCCGAGGGCAAGGTGTTCTTACGCGGGTTCAAGTGTTCTTCAAGGTACTACATCTCTCCACCACATTCTTTTGGAGAAGTTTGGGATGATCCGATCCACGCTCTTTTCTATGTAACTTGGCAAAGCTTGGCAAAGTATGCAAGTTGCATCACGTTGCACGAGTCCACATCCCCAAGTTCATCCAAGTTCATCGAAGTTTCATATTTTTCATGGACTCAGAGTTTTGAAGTCTTTGTATGTCTTTGTTACCACTGACCTGACTTGAGGTGGTTTTCATCTTGGTCTCATGCGCACTGTTTTCGAAGGCCCCATGCTGGTGAACACGGTTCCGACTGCCGTTCCGACTGCCGTTCCGATCCGTTCCGTGTGCCGGTGCCCGGATGTGCCCGGTGTATTTCTCCGGAGGCCTGGATCGACGTCTCGGGCTCCTCGGCGCGTGATGTGGCAAGACAGCTCAGGGAGCAGCAGCTCATGATGCCAGGGTACCGAGATTCGGACCTGCCAAAGGCGAGCCGTGAACAGCTTCAGCAGCTTCAGATTTCGTTTAGAAAATGTTTAGAAATCTTATTTTTTCTTATAGAGTTTCGTTGTTAGTGTCATATCAGGCATAGCTGACTCTGGGAGAACTTGGATCTCAACCTTTCCGGTAAGTCCAACGTAGGTTCCTGCTCTTGTTACGTCAATTTCAAGGAATGTGTCCACGGATGTCCGCGGAGTCCCCATCTCCACAGGTGCTCAATCGCTATATTCCGACAGCGGCAGCCTTCGGTGGTGCATGCATCGGTGCGCTGACCATCGTGGCGGATTTCCTTGGTGCTATTGGTGACTTGGTGCAGTGAGACTTGCAGGCAATCTTTGCCAGTTGCGTTTTGTTTGCCATCGATTGGAAAGGAACCTATAATTTCCAATTTGCTGCGAAACACCCTTCATATCCCTCTATGGATTTTGAGAGACATGCCAGCAGAATGTCAGCAAACTGGTAGATGATCCGAGTGCAGTCAAGGCAGTGGAACAGGTATCCTCTTGGTGGAAGTCTCAGCAAGTTGAGCCGATGTCACTGAGAAGCAATGACCCTGATACATCTGCTAGATCTGCTAGGCGGTAACCATCATCTATGAATACTTCGAGAAAATTTGCAAGGACCACGATGATCAAGTGAGTTGAAAGTGTTTCCCCACTGTCTTGGGCCTAAGCTGTTTTCGAGGGCTTTGTTCGTGCATTGTTATGCATTGCTAGTGTCCTTACTGTCCTTATTGTCTTTGTTCTGCTTTGGACAGGAGGAAGGCCAGGGAGCAGCGTTCATGTTCTGAGCGTGAGACCCAAGTGCAGGCAGTGGCCTCAAATTTTGTTGTTTATAGCTTGCAACAGTTTGCAAGGTGACCTTTTTTTCCAAGCCGTTTTAGTAGAACCTTTCGCCTGGACGTTGCAGGTGGACATCGCGAACTTTGGCCAAATGGAAGAGTGAAGCGAAGCTCGACGCGGAGCTCGAAGAGTTTTTGGAGAAACCGTGTTTACGAATGTTTGCGAGTTACGAAATTGTTGAGCAAGGACATCGGAGCAATATTGGTCAGGTCAAGCTCCAAGAATCTCCAAGAATCTCCAAGACTCACCCCTAACACACAGGGAGCTCTGAAAGCTGGTCACAAACTTTCAAGTGGTGTTCAAGAGGACTTCTTGAGACATCTGAAACTTGCAAGGTGTACCTGATTGTAGCTGCTTGTAGCTGCTTGTGGCTGTGTAGATCTGTGTAGTGTTCATTGGATTGGATGACCTCTTGGCACGTGGCATTGACGATGCTTGCTGTGATGGAACCAAGCCGCATTGCGGAGAGCAAAAGACATTCCGTAGGTCATGGTCATGGTATGTCATGGTGAATATTTTGAAAGGCACCATTTGAATCATTTTGAATCATTTTGAATCGAAATGAATCGAAATGAATCGAAATGATACAATGTTCACCCAAAGTTTCAGGTTTCTTCCACTTGTCCCAAGTCTGCCTGGAAATCTCCCAAGCTGTTGGATGTCTTTGGATGTCTTTGGTAGTTTCTTGCAGAATACATATTGGAAAAGTTATTAGAATAAGTTATTAGAATTAGTCAATTAGTCAATATATTAGAGAATATGAGTTGAGTATATATATATATGAGTATATATGAGTACAGTATTGTAGCACAGCTTTTCCCAGGGCCTTCCACTTTGAGTCCACCACCATACCCGCTCCCCACACGGACAGAAATCAGATCAGTGTAATACACCGAGTATACACCGTGGTGTGAGAGATTGTGAGAGACCTTGACAGAATTGGAAATAAGAGGTGCCAGGTTAGAAACCAATTATGGTGTGTTGCTGGCAGACAAGAAGAAAGTAATCAGGTCAAAGAACTTCTTCACTCTCATGCTTTGTGCTTTTTGCTTCCTGCTCTGTGTTTGCACTAAATATTTCCAGTGCTTGAAAGTAGTGTCCGCAGCTGAAATATCGGCTTTATCGTTTGTATAGATTTATTTTCCAAGAGCATGGCTCTGCAATTGCCTGTGAGTGCTGTTGCGGGCCTGGGTGCATTGGACACCGCATACTTGACTTACGCAAAGATTTCGCAAGTGCCCTTGGCCTGTCCTTCCAGCGGTTCATGCACTGAGGTATTGAATTCCAGCTTTGCATCCATCGGTCCTGTGCCTTTGTCGGCCTTGGGACTGCTTGCATACCTCAGTGTTGTGGCACTGAATTTGAGCAGTCAAGGAAGCAAGGAACTGAAAGAACTGCTGTGGTGGTTATGCTTTACGATGGCGTTAACATCACTTGGCCTCACAGCGATTTTGATCTTTGTCCTAAGAGCGCCATGTCTTTACTGCGCAGCTTCATCCTTCATTACTGCGATGCTCATTGCCCTCGTTGAAACAAAACGCGCGCGGGAGACGGTGGAGCTTGAGGCTCAGGCTACAGTATCTGCAGAGGAAGGCGCAGTGCCTGCAGTGCTGAATGCAGTACCTGCAGTGTCTGATGCAGTTTCTGATTCAGAGGAAGATTCGGAGCATTCAGCGGAACCGCGACGAGCGGTGCTGGGACTCTCTGGTGTTTTGGCTTTGGGCTCCTTGCGAGCTGGCACCCTTCCCTCCAGAGAGTTTGCATCTGCCTGGGCATACTTTACCTTGGTTGAACAGTACAAACCGAATCATCCGCCTGTGCGAAGTTCTTCCTCCAAGGCCGGGTACAGACTGCGCTTGACATGTTCCGCCTTTTCAGTCATCGTAAGTCCACTTGAGACTTTAGTCTATCATGTCAATGTACTCACTCGGCTCTTGTTTCGGGCTCTTCAGATTGAATCAGATTGAAAACTAAAAACTCGCTGCAAGTCATCGATTCTGAAGAAGTGAACAAGTCATCACCAGCTGATGAAGCCAGTGAAGCAGGAAGAGATGGCTTTGGCTAGACATCTCAAGAAGATTGGAGCAGCCTGCTACACAGCTTGGTGGTGCCCCCACTGTCAAGAGCAGCGAGAGTCCTTTGGCAGGGAAGCTGTCGAGGCGCCGTGGGGGCACCATGCTCCCTCGATGTGATGTCAAGCTGCAAATACATCATGTATATTATATATAAGTATATATAATATGCAATGTGTATATATTATATATATATTACACATATATATATATATATATCATAGTGGTTGACTACCAATTCGGTGACTATCTCCATTATTCTTTCTGTTTGATTTTTCTGCTACAGGTTGCGCCCTTTGTAGAGTGCTCCTCAAAGAATCGACGGCAGCTTCCTATTTGCCGAGAGCAGGAAATCGAGAACTACCCCACATGGATCATCAATGGTGAGAAGCAACTTGGAGAAGAGGTCAGAAGTTGTGAAATTTAGTGGTTTTAAGATGTTTTTAAGCAAGTCTTAACAAGTTTGTTCAGCTGAATTAGTTGAATCAACATGTTCGTAAATGTTCATAAATGTCTCGGTGCATGAGACAGTCCTACTGTGAAACAGAGACAGCAGCTCCAGCAGCTCGAGGTATTTGGGCGGCCGTGACCTTTCCGAGTTGGTGGAGCTCAGTGGCTTCACAGAATACGCAGCAGAACGCTTCAAGCCGCGAGATACATCTGTGATGGAGTACATTTGGGGACCACCACCGGAGGATGAGAATGTGTAGAGGAAAAAAATGGACTTGCAATGATGTGGTTCTATCAAATTTCTTTTGAGCATGCCTCACGGGCCAGTCTCAAAATTCCAAGGCATGATTCTCTGTCATGTTAGCGTTTTTGGATTCCGCCAGATTCTGCAAGGACCTTTCTCTTTGTGCGATCAGACTCGCATTCTTTGATGTAGAAAGTTATGACAAAGTGTGATGGAAAAAGGCATTGGCTCTAGGACTAGCAGTAGCAGATGCAGATTTGAAGATTAATGAAGATGATTATTTTCCCAGGAAGATCTTTCGTAGAGAGCATAGAGAGCATTAGGGTGTATTTTACGCTGAAATCTCTAGAACATGAAGCTCAATGAAGCTCACTAGCAAACTGATCACGGCAGCCACGGTGCTGGATGCTTTCCCATGGGGTGCCCGGAGCTAGGCGCTAGTCACAGTGATGCCTCCACGTTGCACAGCGGCTTCCATTCTGACAGGTGGAACGTGCAGGCTGCGCCTTCCAGAACCTTGCAGACGCTGAGACTAGGCGAGCTATGGCGAGCTGCGATTGTCTGCAGTTGGCACGATAAAAAAGTAAAGGAAGATATCGGAAGATATCGGAAGCATCTCAAAAAAGTAAAGTGTGAGAACCCGGCGACCTGCATTATTGCAGACTCAAGTGTATGAGAGGTCAGCAGCTGACCCTCCTGCCGGAGCATGGGCTGTCCGGATTTTGTCGTAGCTGGAGAGGCAAGAGGGGGTTTGGACTAGAGTTTCTTTTGAGTATAGCAGGCAAGCAGAATTGCAAAGTGATACTGTGAGCTTCAACTGCTGACTAAATCTGCCTTTTGTAATGGCATTCCAAAGTTTGAGTCTTGAAAAAAGGCACTGCGTGTACGGCGCTATTTGCTGGTGTAGCCAGAGCGTTGGACTTGGGTCATGTACTGTGAAAGGGCATTTGGCTGCAGTATAAAAGAAATGGTTTCAAAATGTATCAAGTGCATTTGTGGGGGTTTGTGCTTCTTTTCCCGATAGTTCTGAAATCTGAAACCACTCCGCGCCGCCGAGTCTTCCGTGCGCGGTATGAAGGCAGCTTCAGGTGCGGAGTGTTCCAAAGGATTGTAAGAGATTGTAGCTAAGAAGATCTGAGAAGAACCTTCTTGACTGTTGCTTCCCAGTGCAAAGTGCAAGGCGACAAAGATGTCGGTGCACCTGACAGACCAGGTGGATTGTCCAAATTCCGAGAGCTGCAGAGTGTGGTCTCCTGGTTGCAGCCAAGTGCAATGGGATGCAACTACCAAGAGACAGACAGACAAAGGCAGAAAAATGTGGAGGAATGCTGAGCAAAGTGAGCAAAGTGCACAACAAAGCTCACAAAGCTCCTGCAAACGATGAAATAAGGGATACCCAGATCTGAAAGTGATGCTTGCCTGCAAGAAGATCCCTGCCACGGATACCGTCTCATCCCCTTTATTGTTTCTTCTTTTGGATGCACAAGTCGAAAGTCGATTCTTTGCGTCAAGTCTCTTCTCCTCTATGACTCTATGCCCGGCTGTTTCCGGGACTTGTTAGACTTGTTCACATTTTTTCCCGAATTTGTTCGTTTTGTTCACGGCTTTGTTCAGGCCCGTGATCCTCTTCCCAGTGGAAGATTTGCTGTTGCCCGGGCGCAGAAAGCGGATGCACCTCTTTGAACCTCGTTGCTCGCCAGATCTCGCGGTGGAAGGAAACTGAAGGTCTTTGAAGATTTTGAGATCCAAAGAGAGTCCAAAGAATTTCCAAAGATACAATCTTTTTGGAAGGAGAGAGGAAGGTAAGGACATAAGGACACTACAGTTGACTGTAGGAAGAAGAAATTCTTCCAGTGAGATGGGAGGGTACCGGGGGCACTGGAGTACTGGAAGATAGCCATGCTGCAGATTGCTTCTGGAATGTGAGGCTGGGTTTCAATGGTGGAGTTCTCCCTGAAGACGTGTGAAGGTATTTTTGGCATGCTCTACTTTGACGCATCTTGGTTGCAAACGAAAGTGATACGAGTCATACTACTACGTCACACATGAACTTGAATCAGGTCATCAGTGTACTGTTTGTTTTCCTGGAACACGTCAGCAGCCAGATCTTCAGCTTCTCATGCCAAACCAGCCGGTTTGGAAAAGCTCTTTCATTCACAGGACGGAGAGCTTTTCCCAGCTTCCAACTCAGACTGACACTGTGGAGTGACTAACCCTTTGACAGCTTCGGTTGCGGTTTCAGCAGTCAGTCCTTGCGCTTGCAGAATTGTAGCTCACCCTGAAACGCTGACAGATGCTGCCAGTGTCCTACTGGTAACAAGATGGCGCAGTATGTCAGTATATCAGAAATAACAAAGGGAAATTACATGAAATTATATGAAATTATTTCACACACTGTTGCTCTCACTGACGCCCTGTGCCCCTGCCCCGACCAGCTGATGCACGCGACATGACAGCACGTTAGCGTGGCGTTCGATTGGGAGACAGCCAGGTGCTTTCCCTCGTGGAGATCATGTCTTGCAACAACCTGGAAAGCCAGGGCCGGATAGTTTGGATCTGAGCTTCACGGTCCAAACCTCCAGATGGATCCAGATGGTGCAGTTTCCATGGTTCAATCTTTGATAGTACGATATAATAATAACATACAATAAAAGGGCTAACGCCCGGGTGCTGCCGACCCCCTGTAAAAGGGCAAGTTTGGATTTTGTTTTACTACATGCAGCCGTCCGGTTCAATGCAATCCCACCATCGTTGAGGCTGAGTGAGCAGCATCAATGCCGCCATCAGTCACGAATAAATACATACGTGACCGGGCAGCTTGGAAGGCTGGAGAAGGTGGGGCAAGGAGGCCCTTGTAGAACCAAAAGTGCCAAACGGCAGTTTCGAAACCTTTAAGAGAGACATGACCGGGCAGCTTGGAGTAGAACCTAGCAGCTTGGAAGGCCAAAGAAAGTGGGGCAAGGCCTTGGAAGGCTTCAGACGGTGGGGTAAGGAGGCGCTAGTAGAATCTAGCAGCTTGGAAGGCTTCAGATGGTGGGGCCACAGTTGGCCGCCACAGTTGGCCCCAGGAGAACCAAAGTGCAAAACGGCAGTTTCGAAACCCTTAAAAGAGACATGACCAGGCAGCTTGGAGTGGACCCTAGCAGCTTGGAAGGCTTGAGGAGGTGGGGAAAGGAGAAAAGACACACTGGTGGGGCAGCGGTTGGCGCCAAACGGCAGTTTCGAAACCCACAATAGAGACATGACCGGGCAGCTTGGAGTAGAACCTGGCAGCTTGGAAGGCTTGAGAAGGTCGGGAGGCTTCAGAAGGTAGCAGCTTGGGCTTGAGAAGGCGGGGAAAGAAGACTAGTACAACTTATAGCAGCTTGGAAGAAGATGGGGCAAAGAGGCCCCAGTAGGGGCAACGGTTGGCCCCTGGAGTAGAACCTAGCAGCTTGGAAGGCGTAGAAGATTGGGAGGAGGTTCTAGCGGAACCTACCAGCTTGGACGGGCGAAGAGAAGCAAAGTAAATGGAAAAGCTTGCGCGCAGCAATGCTGCACACCTGCGGTGATCTTAGGCGCCGCTCCGCCTAGGCCAAAGCTAGGCAAGTGTCGGCGGATTATGGTAGTTGATATAATGTCCAATTTCTGCAGCAGCGAAATTGGATGTAATCTTCGCAGGGGCCTGCTTTCAGACTATCCAGAGACACATTGGCAGGTCCAAGTCCGTGCAGTTGGGCGTGCAAGGCTGAAAGGCTTGACAGAGGAGGCAAGGCCGTGGAAGCCGTGGAAACCATGGAAGCCGTGGAAGAAGCCGCGGAGTTGGAAAATCTGCTCAGTTCAGATCGGTTTGCAGCCAGAGATCTCCAGTCTCAACGGCAGGTTATATCCGCTATGGACTGGGGGCTGGCGCTTGTGGAGGAGCAACATCTTGGAGTAGCAAGTGCCTGCAGTTTTTAATGCATATGCCATGGGACCACATGAGTATGGGTCAAAATTAGGTACCCCAAAATTATGGATGGTTAATACTAAACTAGACTAACATCTGTGGTCCCCTAGGTCTTCCATTTTGACCCACATCCACATCTTTAAAGATACTACACATTAATTGATGCATGAACTTAGGCGAAGGCCCAGGTTTTGACACACTCCCAACATGCTACCGACCTGCACATTGTCCAAGCAAATGCTGGTGCTTGACATTGCTTTCCAACAGCTGGAACACTTTTGCAACAGGAGATGACGGAAGTCTTCGAAGCAGACTTTGATGCAGCGAACACGGCGCTTGAGCTTTCAAAGCTCATGGTGTGGATGCCCAGTTTGGATGCGAAGTATGGCGAGCCACGACCAGGACGTGAACAGATTTTGAACACATTGGCTCTTGAAAATGCAGATGGAAAACAACCACTGGGACAAAGCGCTGCGTCAAGATCCAAGGAAGATCTTGACATCACTGTGACAACCGCAGAGGACGACGGCAAAGATTCAATGCTTTGCACAAAAGACATGCATCAAAGTCAGATCAGAAGGTCCAGCTTCCATTCTGTGCTTGCTACAGCTGCAGGATGCAGCGACAGAGGAAGGTGCAGCGGAACCAGAGGCGTTGCGATATGGCATTAGCAACACCATAGACACTCTTTGCTCATGTTCCATCAATCTATTGGAAGTCTTGAGGCACTTTGCCTGTTGACGTGTCATAGAGTCGATCCTAGTGGACTGCAAATAACGTCGAAGTCCTTTTTTTTTGATAGCACTTTTCCAAAGCGGGGAATGTCAGAGCCCATTGGGCAGGTGCCACAGCTTTGGACGCACCAACGCGAAGTTGTTCGCGGTAATTTGGCTCGGCTGTCGCCAGAGAAATGGCATCAGCTGAAATCAGAGACAGCTGGGCAGCTGAAAGGCACGCCTGGAATGGTACAGAATGGGACAGGATGAGACGGGATGCGAGGTGGTGAAAGGAATTGCAATCCAAGAGCTGGACTAGAATGGGAAAGCTTCTGCGATATGTTTGAATACAATTGAATATGGAGAACGTGACCAACAAAACATATTGAATATCATTGAATCATTTCGATAAATTTTTCAGCTGGCAGGAGTGCCGATGCGAACCACCATGCCTTCCTCACAGCATAGAGAGGCAGCAGGAATGAGAGCATTGGAGTACGATTTGTGTGAAAGATCCACTTTGATCCGGCCAAACGCGAATGGTCAGCATCTCGCAAAGTTTGTGGTCCAAAGTGGCCTAGAGCCCATCATGTGGGCTCTGCATTCTGAATCACGCTCGTTTCTCAAGAGTCTCAAGATGAATCCACCTAGCTGCAAATAAACCCACTTGCTGGCCGCTTGCTGCAACGCCGCAAGATCTTTGGCAATTCAGATTCGGTTTCCTCATTTCACAAGATACATGATGGCCAAGATTTACATTTCTATCCATGTCTATTCGTTTTTATCCCTTTCTTCCTGTGTAGTGTCAATATTCGCTATCCAATGCTGTGCCGGTCATCGGAGTCATCGGAGTCATCGGAGTCACCGGAGTCACCGGAGTCACCGGAGTCATGGCAGGCAGACTCTCTGGCGCTGGCAGTCCTGTACGCCTCGCTGAGTCAGGTGTCCTTGCCCTTGTGCCTTGGAGGGTTCGAAGGATGCTCAACTTGGACCGTGCCCCGGTAACCCCACAATATCCTTTGCTTCTGCTACTGCCTGCCCACAACCTTTCATCCGATCGAATGAAAGTCATTTTATGTCTATAACTAACCCTTTCTAACATCAAACTTTCAAGTGTTTGGTTGCAGAAAATACAAAGACAGGGAGTAAGTAAATACTCAGATTGTATAAATCTCAGATAATCTAAGAACGACAGGTATTAAAAGCCGAGATACAAGAGTGGATGATGTTGGCGCTATATTCAGATGATGTTGCAAGCAGGGTCGTGGGAGGGGGTGAGCATATATAAATATTATACATATATATATGTAATAATAATTATATAATTACATAATTATAAAGTCCCAAATGTAATATGTACAATGTACATGTATTTATATATATATATGCATATATTTTACTTTACGTACGTGTCTATCTATCTATCTATCTGTCTGTCTGCCTGTCTGTCTATGTATCTATGGCTCTATCTATGGCTCTATCTATGGCTCTATCTATGGCTCTATGTATGGCTCTATGTATGGCTCTATGTATGGCTCTATCTATCTATCTATCTACCTATCTATCTATGTATCTATGTATCTATGTATCTATGTATCTATGTATCTATGTATCTATGTATCTATGTATCTATGTATCTATGTATCTATGTATCTATCTACCTCTCTACCTCTCTACCTCTCTACCTCTCTACCTCTCTACCTCTCTACCTCTCTACCTCTCCATCTATCTATCTATCTATCTATCTATCTATCTATGAATGATTCTATGTTTCTATGATTCTATCTTTCTATCTATCTATTGGAAAAATATACATTAATGTGTGTGACAGACGCATCAGACAGAGATATTGTGCGACGTTCTTCTATGTCTCCGGTTGTGGGAAAGGTGTTGAAACAGGTGTCATGAAATCGTTATGTTGTTGCCCCGACATTGTGTGCTCCTTGGGCCGGGATGGTGATCGGACCGGCCATTGAGGCGAAAAGAATTCTTCGTGAGTTCGGAGACGTTAGCCAAGCGCTTGAAGGCCTTGTGCCAGTGCCACCAGTGATGAGATGTGAGACTGATGTGAGATGTTGATCCTCTCGGGTGAGAGTGACTATGGTGTCACTTTTGTCCAGAAACTTCTTTGCAAAACTAGACCGACTAGAGAAATGTACTGCAAGTGTCTTTTACAAGAAGTCAAACGAAGAAAACTCTCATTCTCAACATTCTAAAGCATCACTTGTTCAGGTCATGTCTGAGGAAATCTCAGAACTTCAAGGAATGGCTCGTGCAAGAAGGGCACTTGCTGGGGCTCCTGCCTTGGAAAATTGGCGGGGGATGTAAGACCCAACCTCTAGAGTTGCTGGGGCCTGCTTGGAAAGTACTTCTTCTTCAGAAGTTCAGCTATTTATTTCATTTAATCTATTTTTTGTGTTCACGAACTGGTCCCAGTAGATAAAGAGTTCGCAGCATGACTATGTGCCTCTGAGGGGTTCTTATTATGCTCCTTTCGAGGGTGTTGTCTGGCAAGAGGATTTGCTGTCCGTCCAATGTCAGTTTGCTAAAAATCAAAAGGGCCGGTTGGCAGTCCTGAGGGGAACCTTACGAAGGAGTTTCTCTGATAGGGAGACTGTCGCTTCTGAATGCTTCTATAATATCACATGGGGGTATACCGGATATGCTGTGCTTTGGTCATTGCTGGCGGGAAGACCCAGCGGTGCTTTCACCCTCTGAGGTCTTCGGCAACGATGACAAGTGAGGAACGGTTTCACACATGCCGTTTCCGCGGATCGCAGATGTTTTACTGTAGGTATTTGTGGGTATTTGTAGGTGCTAGGCAATTTTCGGCAGGTTTCTCTGCCAAGCTGGAAAATTGCGAGGTGCTCGGCACTCCACCGAAGGACCGTACAAAATGTCTGTACCTTTGTGTGAATATGCAGTGTAGACATGTTTTGTAATGCCGCTTCATTTCGGACCAAGCTACTCTGCTCTTTCGCTCTAAGCTGCTGCAACCCTGTGCTCAGCGACACGCAAGGAGCTCAGATGCATACTGGAACAATCTGGAACAGTGCATTTGTGTTGCAATGTGTTGCATTGCAAAAAAGGCGAAGTGCTACGACGCGGCTTTTTAGGTCATACCCCTACGGTCCTGAACCGAACCTCTCAGAGAACGTTCGAAGCTCATGAAGCACCAGACATCCTTGGCAGGTTAACAACACCCACACGGTTTCGCTGTTTGGTTTGTTGAGGTTCAAAAGCGCTTAGCCAAAAGCGTGACTCCATACAATGCTGCAAAGCGCAGAAAGCGAAGCTGATATGTCTGTCATTGCCATGTTGTGGTCAGCTTCTTAGCGAGGCCTTCCAATTCCCAGCGAGTATTCAAATTTCAAAACGCATTCAAAATCATTCAAATTATTCAAAGAACATGCAGAATGACTTGAATAAAACCTGCAAAGATTAGACGTGTAGTTGTTTTTTTTCTTCCAAGAAACTGAGGTCCTGCATGAATGAGGCCATTTGGTTTGGTGCAGGTTTCCTTCTCTTCCGCTTGGCTTCGCGCTGCAATCTCATCCCTGCAAAGTTGGAGCCTTCAAAACTCTTTGCGCGAGACTTCAAGGGCGCCTCGACATGCCGACATGACGACATGACGATGGGACTATAGGACGTCATAGGAACGTCGGCCTAACATAATATAATCATGATAGAACAAGGAATGGAAAATGACACGATGATGATGATGTGACGGTGACACGGCAATGACGGCATGGCATGACATGCATAGAATGATATGTGATCATATGTGATATGTGTATGATGACGTGTGTGGTATGCGACATGTGATAGACATGCGACAGACACGCGTTAGACATGTGTGGTATGACATTTGTATGACAAGGATGCGACTGTTCCAAACTACCGAGGAAAGACGAGTTTTTCTCCGAAGTCAAGCCCTGCAGCGACGCGCTGCCCCTTCACCCGTGAGATTTGTGAGGACGGTGACGCCGGTGATCACAAAGCCGTGCTGTCAAAATGGGACGAATGGGCCGCAAAGGGCTGCACTGGCCGTGTCCCTGGAAGCCTTGAAGTGGCAGCCCTGGAAGCTGTGGTGGAAGCGATGGCGATCTTGGATCCTGACCGGTTGAGGGACATGGTGCAGTACCTGTTCGAGTTTTCCTTGGTGCGACCTGGCACAGTGCACTCCTTGGTCTCCAGCATTTTGAAGGTCGGCCGCCCCGAGGTGGCAGAGAACTTCTTGGAGATGTTGGAAGCAGACAAGCGAACACAGCGAAGCTTGTCCTCCACACTGAAACTTCGCAAGTTGATTCTGGGAAAGTTTGCCGCTCACGGTAAAGTGGACAAGGTCAAGAGCATCTTGAGCAAGTTGGAGGGTGATGAATATGTGTCGGCTGCCAATCTGGCGATCCGTGGCTTCTTGGAAGGACGACACACGACGGTGGCTTTGCAACACTTGAACGAGCTCACCAATGGCGGCAGCCAAGTGCAAGCGGCCACCGTCTCCGCAATGCTGGCGTCCAGCAACAAGGTTCCGTAGAGCGTAGTGGTGTAGTGTGGTGCAATGACATGTGGTAAGTGATGGTAAAATATGGTAAACACATCTAGATGCAATACTCTAGTGCAATGCCCTGAAATGCAATGGTATGCAACGAGCACGAAACAAGCGTTGGGTCATACTTGGAGGACTTCCCCATTTCCAACGTGCTTGAGGCTTTGCGAGGCCATGCTCTGGTCGAACTGTGTACCAAAGAACACAGATCTGCTCAAGCATGCTCAAGCAAAGCATCTTGAATTGTATACAATGCCCTGTATATACGAAATCTCAAATAGGAAAGCAAGCAATATGCCAGTGGCAGGAACAGTTTGTTTTTCTCAACGCTTTCTCACGCTTTCTTAGTTCGAAATCCTCGTTGGTAGGAATAGAGCTGCCAGCTGATGCTGCAGCTGCGGTGATGGGGGCTTGCCTCAAGCGAGAGGACATCGAGACTGCGTCGGATCCCGAGATGAAAAAGAACAGAAATTCATCTGAGCGATCTCTCATCATTCTCATCACAGTCATAGATTCAGATGGCCCAGATGGCCTAGAAGAGCATGAGATATGATTGGATGATTGGCATGTCGACAACAAAGCTAGGCGAACTCTGGAGACTCGTTTGCGAGAACATGGTCAGGCTGTGACTGGTCAAAACAAGCAAACAATGAGCAACACTCGGCTTTTTTGTCCTTCACCAAGCTTCATTTGGACATATTTGAAGAGCATGCAGAGCCTCCATTGTATGCCTGGCTTGATGCTGTGTCTCTCGATATCTCTTGGCACAGTTGTCCTTCGCCGTGCTGGAGCCCCTTTTGAAATTAATGGCGAAGCATGATGAAGCACCTGGGACTGCATTGACATTTGCATTGCTCCACTTGCAATATCTTGCAATATCTTGCAATTGCATTTGTCGCATTTGCACTATGTGCTATGTGATTTGGCAGGCAAGTTCCTTCGGATTGCTGCAGGCCGTGGAATATTTTCCTAGCCATGCAGCACTGCATGGTATCACTTGCATCACTTGCATCACTTGCAACTGCAATTCTGCGAAGTGGCAAATCGGCAGGAGATGGTGGATCGCAAATTTTTCCTTTCTGAGGGCTTTTGCGGTTTGCTCCTCTCCCGCTGTGGTGAAGCTCATCACATACAATTTGCAGAGGATTGGGTGAAACATGGTGAAACAGTGGGGGAAAACCCGGGGCTGAAGACCTCGGCCAGACAAAGAGGTGGAGCCTCGCATAGCTATGACAGCTATGAATAGAGCCATGGTGTTTGTTGTTGCTGCCCGCATTAGAATGCATTAGAATGGCTTGGAGCCCGAAGTAAGATGTTGGCGGCAGCAGGAAGCAGACTTCTCCTCGAGGATGTTAGCTTTTAAGTATTTTAAAACCTTGGCAAAGGTTCCATTTCCATTTTTTGGGCTGAGATAGGGTTTGGTGCTCAGATTTAAAATGTGAAGTTCAGTGGTACGTACATCAATCCTTGAATCGTACATCGCCGGTGTGAACCTTGCACAGGAACCTGGGATCTGATAATGCCACGGCCGATCCATGTCAAGTGGGTTTGAACATGTTTGTGGGTTTGAACATGTTTGAACATGTTTGAACCATTTCAACCGATCAGGCTGTGCAGAAGTACCTCCGCGAGCGCAAGATGACCAGCCTGGCCACTTACAAGACTTTGATGAAGGCCGTAGCAGCGTAGCATGTCATGGTGTCATGGTCTGCTGTGACTAAGAGCTGCGAGACAGCTTGCTTCCCCTGTCCCAGAGTCCTAGACGGTTTTGTGGATTCACAGCCTGTTGTGGACACAGACTTTCAGCATTTTTCAGTTGCATATTACTCTGTGTAGCTTTATTTTTGGTGGAGGTCTATGCCACAAGCGACAATTTGAGTCGTGCTTGCGATCTATACTATGATGTCATTGAAGATGGCATCGTTCCCGACACTGTCGTTTCCCCAACTGTCAGATTTGGCGTCATTGAGGAAGACTGAGTAAGTATCATGTGTGACTTTCCGAAGCCGACTTCAGCGACGCTTTGACCTTTGAGCCTTCGCCGAAGGTGATGTACGGCTGCTTGGTGAAGTTTGCTGTGAAGTGTGGCCGGGATGATCTATCTGAGCTCCTTTTCAATGCCGCATTGGAGAAGCCACAGGTGCCACAGTTGTTGCCGTTGGGGCTGAAAGTTTGCTGCATGCTTTTGCTGTAGATTTTGGCCAGGGAAACGATGTTCAGAACTACATGTGGCTCATCCGATCTGCAGGCAATGCTGGCTCCAGCATTCTTAAAGTCTGTGATGCAAGATGCAAAGATAGTAGTCTGTCATGGTTGCTCCATCTCATCATACGCAGGTCAGAAACATGATGTTCCCCGTGCTGTTGGTCTTCTGCGTAACTTGCAACAACAGGCTGCCAACTGCGCTCCTTGTGATGGGTGGTTTATGATTTTTTGGATTTGTGTGAAGCTGCTCTTCCATGCTTTTTCATCCTGAAGTGTCGGTTCTTTAGGAGCTTTATTTTGCCCAAAAATGTCCTGTCATTTCACGCCATATACTTGCTGTATTGTACAGGTAGAGTATGTCGACGCCTCTGTGTACAACTGTGTCTTGGACGTTTGCATGAACAACGCGGAGACGGAGCTGGCTGAAACGATTTTCCAGGCACAGAGTGCACATGTATGGCACAGATTGGCACAGGCTGAGCACGTGCACGTTGGTAGCACACACATTGTGAAAGCCAAAGCCCCAGGAGATGGTTCAGAAGGAAGTTGTGACCTTGGTCACTTACAACACGTCTGAAACCTAGAATAAGATGAATAAGCATGGATAATATCATATAACATTTGCTGAACCAAACCTAGCATGAGAATGGATGAGGATTCGGATGTGCTTCTGAATTCACGGCTGAAATTGACGGGATCACGGGATTTTCTCGTTTTGTCAAGTTTTGTCAAGTTTTGTCAGGCTTCTGAAAGGCCACTCTGCCCAGGCGGCACCTGCGCTTGGATTTTCTCGTTTGAGTTCTTCGAGTTGTTCGAGTTCGATGTTCTCTGCCAGGGGAAATTTGAACGAGCCAAGATGCTGATCCAAGAGATGAAAGTAGGGGCACCTGGGGAGCAACTGGATAGGAGGAATGTGACCAGGGATGCAAAGCAGATGCACATCATGTGTTAATTTATTGAAATTCGGTGAGCTTTGCTCACAGATGCACACAGTGCGCACATGTTTGGCGCACATGTTTGACATCGCAGAAGGACATCCTGTTTCATGTTTGAAGATTTTGAAGGCAAAGGGCTTCTCACCGAATGGCGCGTCCTTCAATTGTCTCATCAGCGCTGCTGTCTCGGCAGGCCACACAGCAGGGCGAAATTCATGAAAATTCGGTTTCCGAGAAAATGGATGAAAGCACTCATTGTCATGTCATTGTCATGTCATTGTCATGTCATTGTCATGTCATTGTCATGTCATTGTCATGTTGACATACCAATTGTGAAATGGCGAATGTGCAACTTAAAATCAGATGCGATGCTTCTTAATCATGCCAGTCACGCCAGTCACGCCCCAACACACCCCAAAGCAAAAGAACAATGGGGCAACGACTGCCAGACAGGTCGCTTTCAACAAGCCTGGACATTCTATGAGGACATGTTAAACTGCAACATCTCAGCTCGATTCTTATGTGTGGCATTGGGTGGCACAATCAAATCTTTTTCAGCTGCGAACTTACTTTTAACATTCTTTTAACACATCCGACAAGCACTCGTTGTGGCCCTTGCGACAAGTTGGATCAAGTCCAGCACTATAGCGGCTAAGGCCTTCAGAAAGATTTTTTTTATTACATTAATACAGTATTAATAGTATTTAGTTTGCAAGGGTGAATGGATGGTTGGGTAGGGACCCCCTTGCAACATGAAACATGTGTGGTTGTCATGGATAAATCTTGGTGCCACTTTTGGCTCAAGATTGATCCCTTAATTTTTCTTTTAGGGGGACGGTCTCCTCCAGGCGTGTCTCACGTGTGGCACGTGGACAGGCTCCTGGTGCGAGGGCTGCTACCTCCGTGAGGAGCAAGTGGGTGGCCTGAGTTTGGAGTACTCAGCCATCTGCTAGCACCGAGTGTGCCCCCAGTGCTCTGACCATGGCATCGCGTGGACATACGGGAACAAGGTCGCAACCCAAGTCCATGGACCAGGGGACGAGGACCAGATCGCGATCACTGGGTTCTTCACAGAGGAGGGCAGCTTCGTCAAATCCGAAGGGGACATCAACATCAGCTTCTCTCCCCGCCAGCGCCATGGGGCCCAGTCTGGGACTGGAGCCTGAGGTGAGGGAACTCCTTCTGAACCGTCCTGCTGGGCTGGAGGTTTTCCTTGAGGGCTTGACAAACCTGTTCAGACATCCGTCACATGCATGTGGTCCTCTGGGCAGGCCCTTGTGGGGGAGTTTGAAGCCAGGTCTGGAAAGCTCAGCGCTGATGAGCTTGGCTTTCTCTGTTGCGGCACTGTGGACTTTGGCGTTGAGCAGAGCCACTGCCCAAGGACACAAGGGCGTTGCCGCCATTGTGGAGGACCGCACTTCTACCTTTTCCCGCAACGTGGCGCCTCGACCTGAACCAGGCCAACCATCCAAGATCATCACCTACCGCAAGCTTATCCAGGCTGGTGGCACTCCGGCCCAACCGTCATTGGCCCAGGCCTCTGCGGTGGACCCCTACGCTCGAGAGCAGTCCCACCGGATGGCCAAACTGGATGCTTTCTTTCAGATGTTGCTGGAAGATCTGGTTGACGCTGCTGAGCTGGGTCTCACAGTGGACAACCTTACTGATGCGGGAAGCATTCAGTCTCTTAAAGAAAGCCTGATGGCGACGCCCAACCAGCTGAGCACTGAGAGGGTTGGATCTTTGATGGCGGCTTTGAAGCGTTGGAAGAGGTTCGCACTCCCCAAGAAATACCCTGTTAGAGCACCCACTCCGCTCCAGTTAGCTGAGTTCCTGCGTGACGTCAGCCGTGGGGGACCAACAGCAGCTGCAAGCGTTTGGCAGGCCCTGAAGTGATTCAAGGAGAAGATGGGCATGAAGCTCCCCTGTGAGCACTTTTTGGTGCTGCCTTACAAGAACTTCCCGGCCGCCTACTCCTCATCACAGGCCGTGGAGCTACAGCCTTGGGAGTTTGTGAATTTGCTCCTTTTTGCCCGGCAGCAGAGAGGGACCAATTTGGTGCTGGTGTGCTTCTTGCTCCAATGCAGCGTCTCCTGCATTCGGTTTGAGCATTTCCAACGCAGCAAGTTCATGAACTACCAAGCAGAATGGGCAAAGTTTTGGTGTCGTCAAGGGAAGCGACGAGTCCGTGGCTCACGCCCTGGGTACGAGTGGTCCACCCCGGAGCTGACATGGCAAGGCTTCTCCCTGCTCAAGATCCTGGCGGAGTTCTTTAGACACGAGTGCTTGACCGATGTTGGCTTCCTCTGGCCACAGGTTCAACTGGACCCGCATGATCTCTGGGAGATCAATGAGGGGACCCCTTTTACCGTGGGAAAACCTCTCTCACGGCAACGATTTCTGGAGATCCTTCGGGGTGCCCTCCACCAAATCGGAATACCCATCGAGGAAGCCACCACTGCACAGTACAACAAGCTACGGAGATTTATGCCAACGCTGGCGAATGTGCTGCGTCTGGAAGACCCAGAACTCCAAGCAATAGGCTCCTGGATGGAGCTCCCATCATCGGGAGGCCCCACACCCTCTCGGAAATTCAGAGCAGTGTGGATCATGGGACGGCATTACGCCGGAGGACAGACAGTGCGCTCCGCGGCAGTTAAGCGATCCATCCTGCAGCGCTTTTGGAAGCTGTTTCAACTCAAGCAGGGTGAGCTGGCGCTGACTGACCAGCAGTTGCTGCCCCGCGGGTCTTGGACCTGGCAGGAGTTGGCGGCTGCCAATGACAGGATGGCCCCTTTAGAGATTGCCCCACTCCCTGTCGACAACCCTGAGGAGTTGGCAGCTATGGAAGCTCAGGCCTCTGAGACCAAGGATGACCTGCCCCTGCAGGATGACCCTGAACCCATCCACTCCGATGGATCCAGCTCGACCACCTCTACATTGGCGAGTGACGTCACTGCCACGGGTTTTGACTTAGAAGGCGTCATCCCCTTGGACGTGGTCGTTGAAGACACCAAATGGATCCAACAAGGCTCCAAGACGCACTTGGTGAAGTCGCTGGATGCGGACTCACGGCCTGTGCCTTGGTGCCGGGATTTTGCATTCCAGCAGGACCCCAAGCGTGATGGCCAGGGCTTGGGCACTACATCCAGGCAGCTGTTTTGCCAGCGCTGCCTGTCAAGGATGCCGCGTGCAGTCTACAGCGCTGTGGCGGCCCAATGTGGCTGGTTGATTTGATGACCGCCCATCATCAGCTATAAAGTGAGGGCTGCGGGTAGGTTGCGTTGTTTGCATGTTGTCATTTTCTTTCAGTGGTCTTGCTTCATGTTTTTTAACATGTTGGCATGGTATGCACTGTAAGCTGTTTGTGGTTTTGCAGTCAGGCTCACTTCCCAGTCTTGCCTGCTGCCACCACCACAGGCGGTGTAGGCTCTCACATCCGCGCCATGAGCGCTGCGGGGCGTATCGACGTGCTGCAGAATGACCGGGGCCTCAAGACATGCTTTGAAGCGGCCAACATTTTGCCTACCTGGCCGGACACGTTCTGCAAGCTTCACAAGGTCGAGACACTGGATGACTATGTCTACCTCATGGACACCAAGGAGTGGGAGCAGAACTTGAAGGACCTCCTCAATGCATCTATCGACCTTAAGGACAATCGTATTATCTTGTCCCGGTTCAAAGCTGCGTATGAGGGTGGGATCTCGGCTATCAAGACAAGCCAGTCATCCCAGAAGGTGGAAGACTCACTGGATGCGGTGCTACCAGAGACGACGCTCCAGTCGGTCACCAAGGACTTCGCTCGGAGGTATGGTGTGGTCTTGGACCCCCACTTTGATCCGAGTGACGCCTTGAGAAGCCGGATCTATAAGGAATTCCGGCGCCAGACAATGACTGTCCTGGAGACCCGCCGGGTGAAGTCGATGATGCATGTTGCGGTGCCCAAGACTACGGAAAACATCAAGCTCTCGGACTCATTGCAGCTCCAACTTCAAGAAGATGAGTCAATTGTGATCACTACAGCCATTGAGTACTACCTGGCGCTCCGCACACTGTGCAACGCCTGGGCCTGGGCTGGCAACTTTGAGGCCTCTGACTTTGACGGCACCAAGCGAGTGTTCATTATAGCCTGGACCAGGCCCAAGGCTATGCTGACTTTTGCCTCCGGATGGTGGTGGAGGTTGGCCAAGGTTCCCTTCAGTGGCTCTTGAAGAACGACATGCTGACCCGATCCCGCATGGCATCCCTGATTCAGCGCAGTTACACCGGTGGCTCTGCTTTGAAGGAGGCCCTCCATCAGACCCACTTGGAGTGGCGCAGCCCTGCCTTGCAGAGCTCTGGGAGCCTGCCTAAGGCCAAAGGGCAGCAGCCGCCACCGGAACCACCCAATCCACCTCCCGCCAAGCGCCCCCGGTCAAATCAAGCCGGATACTCGGCAAACTGTGAGTATGCTGAAGGGGGGCAAGAAGCTCTGCAAGGCCTTTAACGACCAGAGCGGATGCAAAGGCGATTGCGGTGCACTTCATGCTTGCGATGTGCGTTTGCCTAGCGGCCAAGCTTGTCAAGCCACATCCCACAATCGTCAGTCCCACCCCGAATAGGGACAGCGCCCCCTGCAGGTGCACTCATCTGCGGGGGACCCTCACCAGCCCCTGGACCCTCTGCTCTGGGTAGCATGGTCCTTGTTGCTGAAGGTGGTGGGCCCGCGCAAGTGAGGAAAGTGGTAGTGGCACACAGTGACGCAGGTGACAACACGGCACCACGTCAGATCATGTTGGCACCGTAGGTGGGGCCACGCCACAGGAGCCGCTGAGTATGCCTCCTTCGAGTGCAAATGGACCCCCAATTTCTTTGAGTGCTCGCCTGGCCGCAGCAAAACCGGTCACCTGGAGGGGTCAAGGGGATTTAGGCCAATACACATGAACGGGCAACCCATCAAAACCCCTCGCTTGTAATAGACTTCTGGGCAGGTTATTCAGGCCTAGTAATTGCCATGCTTTGTTTAGGTGTTCATTGTTATGCCCTCGCAGCAGAGTGTAACCCAGTTGCCCGAGAGTGTGCCGCACAGGTCATGCCCCACATCGTGCACGTGGATGCTGTGGAGAAGGTCAATGTTCGGGTCCTCAGAGACTTTCTGAAGCGGCGAAAACTGCGAGGCATCTTGGTGGGTGGAGGTTCACCATGCCAGGCTAACAGCAGTCTAAATGTGGGACGTAAGGGCTTAGGTGATCTTAGATCCCTTCAACCCCAATTGCTGGCCCGCCTGGTTGATGACCTGTCCCACGAACCACTTTGTGCAGACTTAGAGATTGTGGCGCTCCTGGAAAATGTGCACAGCATGCCCAACGACGTGTTGGCTCAGTACTGTAAATGGATGAAATCTCACCCCATTTCAGTCAATGCTGCGCTATGTGGGTGGACTCAACGCCTGCGGCTCTTTTGGCTTTGCTCTCGTCGTAGGGGGCTGGATGCAAACATTCCCCCACCGGACTCTTGGCAATGGGTCCCAGGGCGCCGTGCTCACGACCTCCAAGACTTGGCCTATGCTGGCACCAAGCCCATTCCAGCCAAGTTGCAATGCACTGAAGGTTACCTTCCCCTTCTCGACCCGACCAAGGTCATGCAGAACGGTGGCAGGGGCGCCATGCACACCTCCACTCGTGAATTTTTCCACCCTGCCGACCGCATCCAACAGGTATCCCCGGAGGCAGCGGCTCGGTTCGAATTGGACCATCGCCGTTTTCCACCTGGAGCCTATGAGGAACATTGCCGGAGGAGAGAGCCCAAATGTTGGGGACCCGAGCGGCTGTGAATGCCGTGGAAGGGTCACCTGATGAACGATGTCAAGGTCGGAATTCCCTTCTGGGTAATGGATTCCACCTGCCCTCCCTGATGGCTGTGCTTTGCCTGCTGCCTGCACTGCTGGAAGCCAAGCTGGTTCCCCAACCACGCCAGCCTGATGCCGACCTGCTGGCACGCTTGGTGGGGTACAGTGTGGGAACCGGGGCGATTGAACTCTTTTCCTGGCATCATGGATGGTGCGGCTGTAACCCAGCTGATGCAGGGTATGTTCGAATCCATTGACCTCCCAACCACCATCTGGCAGACTACCAGAGACCGCCTTGCCGTGTGCCAACTCCCTCAACTCCAGGCATTTGCCTCTTGGAGGCGCCTGCGAGGTGAAGAGTGGCGCCAATTAGGGCCCATTCCTGTCTATGGCAGAGCCCGGACCCGTGTGTTTGCAGGACTTTCTGGACAGCGTTATTCTCCTGATACCTCTAAGGGTCTTTTCCATTTGCTTCCCCCAGGTCTGGGACCGGAGGCCCACATCACAGCGGCATTGGCTTTGACTTCCCCTTTTGCGCCTCAACCATGGCCAGAACCTGATGTCGAGTTTGTTATTGAAACAGTATGGCTGTGGCAGCAATGGCTTCCGCTCCTAGCGAAGAAACAACGTGAAATCCTCAAGACTGTTCACCGGGCCCTTCGCCCCCTGGACCAGGCCCTCCAACGATTCCGTAGCACAGCAGCAACAAAGGTGGCGGCGCAGAAGAACCCTGCGTTCGTGGCCTGCCTGACAGCTTTGCTGCGGTGGCCAGATGTTCAACAACCACTCCACTTGCTCCAGGGCTATCCAATTGTTGGATCGGTTCAGCCTTGTGGAGTTTTCAGAAAGACCTCGCAGGAGGCCAAAGTCAACCCGAACTCCTGGTTGGGCAGCTCTGCGCAAGCGGATTTGGACAAGCTCCTCACCTCACGGCCCCCGGCCTTTGCCAGGGACATCTTGGATGTCACCGAGGCTGAGATGGCTAAGGGATTTTGTGGCCCCCTACGGTCCAAATGTGACCTGGACCAAGAGTTTGACAAAGGCAACTGGAAGTTTCTCGAAAGGTTTCTTGTTGTGCAGCCTGACGGAAAGAAAAGGGTCATAGACAATGGCAGGAAAAGTGGACATAATGCCCATACTCAGATGCATGAGACGATCTCGACAGTCACAGTCGACTTTATCGGTACTGTGGCCCGGATGCTCTTGGAGCGCATGCCTTTCACGGACCAGGACCTGTCAGATCAACACCCCTGGTGTGCCCTACGCCTGGGTACTGACGATCTCCCAGACGCATACCGGGGTTTGCCAGTATGTGACAACCACTTGCGCTACTCCAACATTGCAGTTCTTGTACCACAGGTTGGATGGCGATTTACCACCCTGTATGGCCTTGCCTACGGGCTGGAATCTGCTGTGGTCGCCTTCAATCGCTTCCCACAGCTTGGCGTGGCCATCACGAGACGCTGCCTCTTAGGGTGCTGCGCTGCCCACTTCGATGATGAACTGTCCGTTGAATTCATCCGAGAATCCTGTGTTTCCCAAGTTGGCCTCAAGATGGTTTTTGTGAATTCATGGGTGCCCCGCCACAACCAGCTAAGTGTTTTGTGCCTGCGTGCAACCGCCACTACTTGGGCACCTCCGTACATGTTGGTGATGCACTTACTCTGGGAGTGGTGCGTTTCCAGCCCAAATCTGCTACCCAGTGGAAGGTCCTCTCCCGACTACAACAGGCAATCGACACCCAGTCCTTGGACCGGGATACATCAGGAAAACTTCGTGGCGATCTCAATTGGATGTGGTCCATGTGTGCAGGACATATCGGCCGTATAGCCGGGCCCCTATTGTCAGCCAAGCAAACCTCAGACTCACCTCACCTCGATCGGACACAACTCTTTACTTTGCAACTGCTCATGGATGTTGTCCGACATGCCCCACCTCGTGACATTGTGGTTGCAGGCCCCCTCCAGCCAGTTGTCAAGGTTTACTCCGACGCGAGCTTTGAAAATGGTGTCCTGAGACTTGGTTGGATGATTTTCCATCCTGATCACCACCCTTGTGGCGGCACCTGCGTGGTACCACAGGCAACTTTGGACTCATGGTGTAACCGCAAACAGCAGATCTACCCTGGTGAAGCCTTGGCAGCGCTGGTGGTCCCACTGATTCATCCAACCTTGTTTGTGACGGCTGATGTACTGTGGTTCATCGACAACGAAGCGGCCGTCGCCAGCCTCATTCGAGCTAACAGTTTACAACCAGATGTTCACCTTATTTGTCTGTTTGCCCACGCATGGATTTTTAAGCAAGGAGCCAGAATTTGGTATGAATGGATTGATAGTGCCAGCAATCCGTCCGATGGTTTAAGCCGTGCCGGACTTGAGGATGATTGGACTTGAAGCAGGGATGGATTCTTGATGAATACCCTTTCCCTGCTGAAATTTTACCAGATACCTTCTTTTCTTCGATGTTAGCCTCATTGTATTAAAGTGCAGTGGGTGAATTTAAGAACTGTGGGTGTTGTCTTAGTGTCTTCGACCTGTAAGACCTGGTGTGTGTATCCCACCAATGTAATGGTTTGGATCACAACCGTTACCCAGTGTTACTTCGTATCACTGTCATGCACTTTAATACTTCGAGCTTTACTTCTGGGAGGTATAACATGAGTTGCGATGCAGAGAAAGAATATGCGGCTGCATACGCCTTTGTCTGTACCCTTACAACCCAACTGTTTCTTAGTTTGCAAGGGTGAATAGATGGTTGGGTAGGGACCCCCTTGCAACATGAAACATGTGTGGTTGTCATGGATAAATCTTGGTGCCACTTTTGGCTCCCTTAATTTTTCTTTTCTCACCCACCCTCCCTTGATCCCTTCTGCGGGGTGATAGGGGGGTGGGTTTGTCTTTTGGGATTTGCAACCCCACCCCTTTCACTTCGTTTGTTTGGTTGGGTGTTGTCTTAGTGTCTTCGACCTGTAAGACCTGGTGTGTATATCCCACCAATGTAATGGTTTGGATCACAACCGTTACCCAGTGTTACTTCGTATCACTGTCATGCACTTTAATACTTCGAGCTTTACCTCTGGGAGGTATAACATGAGTTGCGATGCAGAGAAAGAATATGCGGCTGCATACGCCTTTGTCTGTACCCTTACAACCCAACTGTTTCTAATATACATTAACATTTGTTACACATTTGTTACATCATGTTACATCATGTTACATCCATTTACACAATAAGAACATCTTTGTGGAGCTGAGGCAGACAGCTTCACCGTTTGCATATTGCTGAAGATTGTGAGGAGCTCGGCAAGCTTCACAAGCTTCACGTGCGTTGAGAAAGAGCAATCTAAAGAGCAATCTTGACAAATCTTGGCAAATCTTGACTCTCATATAATTTCTCTTAATATCTCTTGAATTATACTTGTTAAATACGATTAAATACGTTTCTCTCATTGCATGATATTGCATGATATTGCATGCTTTCTCCAAGGACGGCTTTGTAGCAAGCAACAGTCATGTCAAGTGAGAACAAAAAGTCAATACTTTAAGCATTTGTTTACAAGTTGAGGTTCGCAAGGCCCCACACCGACCAGAAGCTCAGCGTGCTCTGGCAGTGCTTGACAACTCCAAGGTGCATTTTGAATATTCCTACATATTCCTACAGTCTTGAAAATTTTAAATTTTGACATGTTTTGACTGGTATTGCGGCATTGATCTCAGTATGATCATTTCGATATGATTCTGTTCGCGCAGGTGGACATCTGCAAGGACGAGGTGAGGTTGACAGATTGACAGATGCTGTGGACGCTGTGGGTCGGCGTTTTTTTTTTTTCAGTGGTGGCAGTGGTCCTGGCGAAGCTGCCTTGCCGAGGTGCTTTTGAACAGTGTCCTGGACGCGTGCATTCACCTCAAGGTACGATCGCTCAATCATTCATGACCATGCTACCGTGTTGCGCCGTGTTGCTGGTCATTTACAGGTAGTACCTGCATGCCTTATCCAACTTGGCATCAAAAACCACACCAAAGCTCGATTCATTTCGCGTTGTGGAGTGCTTCCTTGTGCAAAAACTGTACTCTGCATCACTCTGCATCACTCTGCAATTTGTTCACCTTGATTCACCTCTTTGTACTCTGCAAGTCCCGAAGTTGAAGCTTGAGCAGGTTCTGAAAAGCTTCAGCATCCCGCCCCACTTGCCACCAAACCCATCACGCCCAACAACATCAACAACTCCCCCCACCCTGGTGACACCATGACACCAAAGATCATCAAACGTACTGTAGCATCAAGTGAAGCAAATGAATGTGGTTCAACAAAATGTGACGTGAGCTTGAACAAGTCAGCAAGCCCCGCTGTTGGGATCAGTTTGTGTCACGGTTTGTTTCTTTTGTAATTTTATGCAATTTTCCTGATTAGGTCCTGCACGTGAAGGCTTCTTGTTGAAATGAGACCTGGGGCAGGACAATAGGCGCCTTGCGAGTGTTCTTCGCAAATTCGAGCGGGCCACGCTGAAACCGTCAGTAACGAACTACGGACTTCTGATCAAGGCGTGAAACCGTGACTACGGTGATGCTATGAATTGCAAAACTGTGACATACCGTGACTGCCGACTGATGACTCTTTAATTTGGCCAAGTCATTTTCGTGCGAAAGCCTCTTCTGTCTTTCACATGTATTGTTACAGGGTTTCTTTTGACCTATAATTACTGTAGATGATGGTTTCACTTGGAGACACGTATTGCAAGCTATGCAATGCTTTACGCATGGAGCTCCAACATGTGAGTATTGAGGCCTACGCCTGCATGAAGCAAATAAACAAGTGCTGGACAATTTGGCACGAGATGACGGACAAGCATCAGCGAGGTGGAAAGATTCCACTGATTCCTCACATCGCGTGAACTCTGCGAAGTCTCAGATTTTTTTTCCCCAACAGCAGAATGCTTTGGGGTCTTCAGCCATAGTAAAGGTTTCGGAGCAGACCGGAGCAGCTCCAAAACCCATTCCCCCAAGGTTCCCAGGTTCCAAGTAAAGGTTCCCAAGTAAAGGTTCCCAAGTAAAGGTTCCCAAGTAAAGGTTCCCAGGTTCCCAAGTAAAGGTTCCCAAGTAAAGGTTCCCAGGTTCCCAAGTAAAGGTTCCCAAGTAAAGGTTCCCAGGTTCCCAAGTAAAGGTTCCCAAGTAAAGGTTCCCAAGGTTCCCAAGGTTCCCAAGGTTCGCTCAAGGTTCCCAAGGTTCCCAAGGTTCGCTCCCAAGGTTCCCAAGGTTCCTCAAGGTTCCCTCACGGTTCCCAAAAGGTTCCCAAAAGGTTCCTTTCCTTCAGGGTTCCCTGCAAGGATCCCAAGTTTTCCAAGTAAAGGTTGTCAAGGTTCCCAAGATTATTATGTAAAGGTTCCCAAGTAAACGTGGTCCAGGTTCCCAAGGTGACATTGTAAAGGTTTCTAAAAGATTCCCAAGGTTAGATTGTCAAGGTTCCCTCAAGGTTCCCAAAAGGTACCCTCAAGGTTCCTTCAAGGTTTCTTCAAGGTTCCCTGAAGGTTCCCAAGTTTTCCAAGGTTCCCAAGGTTGTATTGTAAAGGTTCCTTCAAGGTTCCCAAGGTTACATTGTAAAAGGTTCTCAAGGGTTCCAAAGTTATATTGTAAAGGTTTCCTCAAGCTTTCCAAGGTTGCATTGTAAAGGTTCCCTCAAGGTTCCCAAGGTTACATTGTAAAGGTTCCCAAGGGTTCCAAGGTTATATTGTCAAGGTTTCCTCAAGCTTTTTCCGAGGTTGCATTGTAAAGGTTCCCTCAAGATTCCCAAGTTTCCCAAGTAAAGGTTGTCAAGGTTCCCAAGGTTGTATTGTAAAGGTTCCCTCAAGGTTTTCCACGTAAATATTCTCAAGGTCCCCAAGGTTATTATGACCCCGTTCCCAATATTTAACAATTTACACGAATATCCGCTGCTCCTGCGCTTTGCTGCTCTTCCACCCGCGGAACCCGCGCACCCTGCAGACGCGGAAACGCGCATAACGCGCGGACGGAAACGTGCAAAATCGCGTTAACCCGCGCTACGTCCCTTCTGGAACCCTGAGTAGTATAGTAGTCGTAGTAGTAGTAGTAGTAATAGTAATAATAACAAAAATATCGTAAATGTAGTAGAAATGATACTAGCCGCTAGCCGTAATATGATTAAATTACAATTTGTAGAAATATTACTAATATTCGTCGTAATATTTAAACTTCTTCAAGAAATTTGAATGCGACCACGCGCGCAGAACCCGTGCGGAACCCGCGCGTACTATTAATAGTAGTAGTAGTCGTCGTCGTCGTAGACGTCGTAGTAGTAGTAGTAGTCGTCGTCGTCGTCGTAGTAGTCGTAGTCGTAGTCGTAGTAGTAGTAGTCGTCGTCGTAGTAGTAGTAGTAGTAGTCGTAGTCGTAGTCGTAGTAGTAGTAGTAGTAGCAGTAGTAGTAGTAGTAGTAATAGTAGTAGTAGTAGTAGCAGTAGTAGTAGTAGTAGCAGTAGTAGTAGTAATAAAATTGGAGATGCAGTAAAAATGATACTAATCGTCATATTGAGTAAATTATAATTAGTAAAAATAGATAAAAATAGTAATAAATAATGTTCATCATTATATATGATTTTTTCTTAGAGAAATTTGAATGCGACACCGCGCGTGGAACCCGAGCAGAACAACACGCGCGGAACCCGCGCGAAACGCAAACGCGGATAACGCGCGAAACCCGTGCGAAACGCAGACGCGCGGAACCCGCGCATATTATTACTACTTCTCGTACTAACAATACTAGTAGTAGATGTATAGTAGAAATTACACCAATCGTAGTACTGATTAAATTACGATTAGTAGAAGTAGCAGTGATTTTCATCGTAATATATGAATTTCTTCAAGAAATTTGAATGCGGCTACACGCGCGGAACCCACGCAAAACAACACGTGCGGATACCGTGCAAAACGCAGATGCGCGTAAAACGCAGACGCGCGAAACGCGCGCGTACTATTAATACTTCTAGTAATAGTAGTAGTAGTAGTAGTAGTGGTAGTAGTAGTAGTAGTAGTAGAAGTAGAAGTAGAAGTAGAAGTAGAAGTAGAAGTAGAAGTAGTAGTAGTAGTAGCAGTAGTAGTAGTAGAAGTAGTAGCAGTAGCAGTAGCAGTAGCAGTAGCAGTAGTAGGAGTAATAATATTATCGCAGATGTAGTAGAAAAGATACTAATTGTAAAATTGATTAAAATATAATTAGTAAAAGTAGTAGTAATATCCGTCGTAAAATTTTAATTTCTTGAAAAAATTGAATGCGACGACGCGCGCGGAACCCGCAGAGAACAACATGCGCGAAACGCAGACGCGTATAACGTGCGGAACCCGTGCGTACTATTACTACTTCTAGTAGTAGTAATAGTAGTAGTAGTAGTAGTCGTTGTTGTTGTTGTTGTTCTTGTTGTTGTAGTAGTAGTGGTCGTAGTGGTAGTAGTGGTAGTAGTGGTAGTAGTGGTAGTAGTAGTAGTAAGTAGTAGTAAGTAGTAGTAAGCAGGAGTAAGCAGCAGTAAGCAGCAGTAAGCAGCAGTAAGCAGTAGTAAGCAGTAGTAAGTAGTAGTAAGTAGGAGTAAGTAGCAGTAAATAGTAGTAAGCAGTAGTAAGTAGTAGTAAGTAGTAGTAAGTAGTAGTAAGTAGTAGTTAGTAGTAAGTAGTAGTAAGTAGTAGTAAGTAGTAGTAAGTAGTAGTATGTAGTAGTATGTAGTAGTAAGTAGTAGTAAGTAGTAGTAAGTAGTAGTAAGGAGTAGTAAGTAGTAGTAAGTAGTAGTAAGTAGTAGTAAGTAGTAGTAAGTAGTAGTAAGTAGTAGTAAGTAGTAGTAAGAAGTAGCAAGTAGTAGTAAGAAGTAGTAAGAAGTAGTAAGTAGTAGAAAGTAGTAGTAAGGAGTAGTAAGGAGTAGTAAGGCGTAGAAAGGAGTAGTAAGGAGTAGTAAGGAGTAGAAAGGAAGAGTAAGGAGTAGTACGCAGTATAGTACGCAGTATAGTACGCAGTATAGTACGCAGTATAGTACGCAGTATAGTACGCAGTATAGTACGCAGTATAGTACGCAGTATAGTACGCAGTAGTACGCAGTATAGTACGCAGTAGTACGCAGTATAGTACGCAGTAGTACGCAGTAGTACGCAGTAGTAGACAGTAGTACGCAGTAGTACGCAGTAGTACGCAGTATAGTACGCAGTAGTACGCAGTAGCACGCAGTAGTACGCAGTAGTACGCAGTAGTACGCAGTAGTATTACGCAGTAGTATTACGCAGTAGTACGCAGTAGTAGTACGCAGTAGTACGCAGTAGTACGCAGTAGTATACGCAGTAGTACGCAGTAGTACGCAGTAGTAGGCAGTAGTACTACGCAGTACTACGCAGCAGTACTACGAAGCAGTACTACGCAGCGTAGTACTACGCAGTAGTACTACGCAGTAGTACTACGCAGTAGTATACTACGCAGTAGCACGCAGTAGCACGCAGTAGCACGCAGTAGTACGCAGTAGTACGCAGTAGTACGCAGTAGTACGCAGTAGTACGCAGTATTAGTATTAGTACCTATAATAGTGCGCAGTAGTAGTACGCAGTAGTACGCAGTAGTACGCAGTAGTACGCAGTAGTACGCAGTAGTACGCAGTAGTAGCACGCAGTAGTAGCACCCAGTATAGTACGCAGTAGTAGTACGCAGTAGTACGCAGTAGTACGCAGTAGTAGTACGCAGTAGTCCGCAGTAGTACCCAGTAGTAGTACGCAGTAGTACGCAGTAGTAGTACGCAGTAGTAGTAGGCAGTAGTACGCAGTAGTAGTACGCAGTAGTAGTACGCAGTGGTATATATACGCAGTAGTACTACGCAGTAGTATACGCAGTAGTACTACGCAGTAGTAGTCCGCAGTAGTACGCAGTAGTAGTACGCAGTAGTACGCAGTAGTAGTACGCAGTAGTAGTACGCAGTAGTAGTACGCAGTAGTAGTACGCAGTAGTAGTACGCAGTAGTACTACGCAGTAGTAGTACGCAGTAGTACTACGCAGTAAAAGTACGCAGTAGTACGCAGTAGTAGTACGCAGTATTAGTACTACGCAGTAGTACGCAATAGTAGTACGCGGTAGTAGTACGCAGTAGTAGTACGCAGTAGTAGTACGCAGTAGTAGTACGCAGCAGTAGTACGCAGTAGTAGTACGCAGTAGTAGTACGCAGTAGTAGTACGCAGTAGTATGCAGTAGTAGGCAGTAGTACGCAGTAGTACGCAGTAGTACGCAGTAGTACGCAGTAGTACGCCGTAGTACGCAGTATAGTACGCAGTAGTACGCAGTAGCACGCAGTAGCACGCAGTAGTACGCAGTAGTACGCAGTAGTATTACGCAGTAGTATTACGCAGTAGTAGTACGCAGTAGTAGTACGCAGTAGTAGTACGCAGAAGTACTACGCAGTAGTAGTACGCAGTAGTACGCAGTAGTATTACGCAGTATTACGTACTACTACGCAGTAGTACTACGCAGGTAGTACGCAGTAGTAGTACGCAGTAGTAGTACGCAGTAATAGTACGCAGTAGTAGTACGCAGTAGTACTACGCAGTAGTATTACGCAGTAGTAGTACGCAGTAGTACTACGCAGTAGTACGCAGTAGTACTACGCAGTAGTACGCAGTAGTACTACGCAGTACTACGCAGCAGTACTACGCATTAGTACTACGCAGTAGTACTACGCAGTAGTAGTACGCAGTGCAGTAGTAGTGCCAAGTAGTACGCAGTAGTAGTACGCAGTAGTAGTACGCAGTAGTACGCAGTAGTACTACGTACTACGCAGTAGTACTACGCAGTAGTAGTACGCAGTAGTAGTCCGCAGTAGTAGTCCGCAGTAGTAGTACGCAGTAGTAGTACGCAGTAGTAGTACGCAGTAGTATAGTACGCAGTAGTAGTACGCAGTAGTAGTACGCAGTAGTAGTAGTACGCAGTAGTACGCAGTAGGAACACGCAGTAGTACGCAGTATTATGCAGTAGTAGTACGCAGTAGTAGTAGTACGCAGTAGTATAGTACGCAGTAGTAGTAGTACGCAGTAGTAGTATAGTAGTACGCAGTAGTAGTACGCAGTAGTAGTACCCAGTAGTACGCAGTAGTACGCAGTAGTAGTACGCAGTAGTACGCAGTAGTACGCAGTAGTACGCAGTAGTACGCAGTAGCACGCAGGAGTACGCAGGAGTACGGAGGAGTACGGAGGAGTACGGAGGAGTACGGAGGAGTACGGAGGAGTACGGAGGAGTACGGAGGAGTACGGAGGAGCACGGAGAAGCATGGAGGAGCACGGAGGAGCACGGAGGAGTACGGAGGAGCACGGAGGAGTACGGAGGAGCACGGAGGAGTACGGAGGAGTACGGACAAGTACGGAGGAGTACGGAGTAGTACCGAGGAGTACGGAGTAGTACGGAGTATAGTACGGAGTAGTACGGAGTAGTACGGAGTAGTACGGTACGGAGTAGTACGGTACGGAGTAGTACGGAGTAGTACGGAGTAGTACGGAGTAGTACGGTACGGAGTAGTACGGAGTAGTACGGAGTAGTACGGAGTAGTACGGTACGGAGTAGCACGGTACGGAGTAGTACGGAGTAGTACGGTACGGAGTATAGTACGGAGTAGTACGGTACGGAGTATAGTACGGAGTAGTACGGTACGGAGTATAGTACGGAGTAGTACGGTACGGAGTATAGTACGGAGTAGTACGGTACGGAGTATAGTACGGAGTAGTACAGTACGGAGTATAGTACGGAGTAGTACGGTACGGAGTATAGTACGGAGTAGTACGGTACGGAGTATAGTACGGAGTAGTACGGAGTAGTACGGAGTAGTACGGTACGGAGTAGTACGGTACGGAGTAGTACGGTACGGAGTAGTACGGAGTAGTACGGTACGGAGTAGTACGGAGTAGTACGGTACGGAGTAGTACGGAGTAGTACGGAGTAGTACGGAGTAGTACGGTACGGAGTAGTACGGAGTAGTACGGAGTAGTACGGAGTAGTACGGAGTAGTACGGAGTAGTACGGAGTAGTACGGAGTAGTACGGAGTAGTACGCAGTAAGCAGTAAGCACTAAGCAGTAAGCAGTAAGCAGTAAGCACTAAGTACTAAGCACTAAGCACTAAGCAGTAAGCAGTAAGCAGTAAGCAGTAAGCAGTAAGCAGTAGTAGTACGTAGTACGTAGTACGTCGTACGTCGTACGTAGTACGTAGTACGTAGTACGTCGTACGTAGTCAGTAGGTAGTGGTGGTAGTGGTAGTGGTAGTGGTAGTGGTAGTGGTAGTAGTAGTAGTAGTAGTAGTAGTAGTAGTAGTAGTAGTAGTAGTAGTAGTAGTAGTAGGAGTAGTAGTAGTAGTAGTAGTAGGAGTAGTAGTAGGAGTAGTAGCAGTAGTAGTAGTAGTAGTAGTAGTAGTAGATTATTATTATTATTATTAGTAGTAGTAGTAGTAGTAATAGTAGGGGAAGCCGGCGGTAGGACGGCGCAAAAATGCACTGCATTGCTTGGTCATGAAACAAAAACTACCACGCTTATATGGAATTACTGTTTGGGATCTACGGCCGCTGCTTTCTTGCTGTTGGGGATATTCTTTGGGCTTATTTCTTTTTGGAAGTGCAATCCGTTGAGTTTGACATATTTTGAGATGGTGATGGGAAACGGGGGGACACTATTGGGACACTGGGAGGTCTGATTCCTTCTGATGTTGCCCTCAGCTGCATGTTGGACGCGATAGTCACTTCGGGTCAGGCAGGATGCTTGTTGAACATAGCGTCTCTGAGGAGTATTCGATAAGTTTTGAACTTCAATGACTCCAGTGATTTCATTGCTGGAATCTGCTGGAACATTGTTCATACTTTGACAAATCTGCAGTTCTTGGCATTCCATTGTGCAATCAGGTGTTGTCTCAAGTGCGCGCAGGTGGAAGAAGCAGTCCGCCTTTTCGAACAGTGGCAAACAGTGGTGCCTCCAAACACCATCATCTTCTCCAATCTCATCAAAGGCCGCTCCCACTGTGCAGGTTGCCAAATGGAGCATCCACAAAGCAAAGTTTTCCCAAAAGCCTTCTTTGTTTGGGTTCTCGTTTAGTCTGCTAATCGCGTGGGGCGCGAGCACAGTTGAACGAAGACTGTGGACGGATGGGAAAGGAATGGGCAAAAGGACATGGCAAAGAAAGGGAAGATGGAAGGTAAAGGAAATGGGATAAGCGAGTGTGGACGGACGGAGCGTGGCAAGGAATGGATGGACATGGGTGTGGATAAGGGCTGGTGGGCATGAGGGAGCGTGGGTTGAAATGGGGAAATGGCTACTGTAAGGATTAAGAGTAGTGGGTGGGAGCGTGTGGACGGCAGGGAGTGGAGGGAAATGGGTGGGCATGAGTCATGCCACACTCTACGAACGAAACACCCCAGGGCATGAGCGAGCAAGGGCAGATGGAGCGTGCGTTCTGAAATTCTAGCTGGCATCTATTCTGGCATTCTATCGGGCATCTATTCTGACATTTTATTTGGCATTCTTTCTGCCACTATCTGGCATGTATTCTGACATCCTATCTGACATTCTTTGTGGCATATGTTCGGGTCCGTATATGCACAGCTGGATCTGGAGCTCACCATAGGGTTCGGGTTCGTGTGTGCCCAGACTGCCGTGGAGCTTGCCATGCGCTTCTGGAGCGAGATAACTCCACTTGGACTGGCGATCCGGGTCCGTTGGTGCCCACAGCGACAAGCTGGCAAAAGAAGGAAGGAAAGAAGGCCGGAAGGAGTCACACCGTTCATTAAAACCTAGAGACCCTCACCTGGCAGGTGGGGGGACGACAAGGGGAACGCAAAGAAATATTGTGCTACCCAACGTAAAACACCAGAACCAGGAGTGCTGCAAACACCATCCAACTGACAGATTCCAGGGCAAAATGCTACAAGTATTACAAACAGCAAAGATGGGAGATTCATGCTCGAACATGCTAGAAGACATATGCAGCTGAAAGATTGTAGTTTCAAAATGCAGCAAGTACCATGCAAATGACAGATTTTTCATTTTTCAGCATGCTGCAAATACTGTGCAAATAAGATATTTCAGCTTAAACATGTGGCAAATTTAATGCGTGCGAAGTGGAGATCCTAGCTTTGAATTGCTGCAAATACAACCCCATATCAGAAAACCAAACACAAAATACACAAACAGCAGCCAAACCAATACAACAGCTTTGTTGAGGATAACATCGATGCTGTTTCTGAATATCGCTGGAGCAGGATTTGCATCGCAGGGAGATGCTGAAAGGGCTATGAAGATGTGCCCGTTGCACATGGGTTGCACATGGGTTGCACATGGGTTGCACATGGCAGGTTCTTGTGCCAAGCTTTGTGCATCGCTTTGTGCATCCTGTGCTTGTTGCGACTTGCTGCCTTTTTTTCTCAATGTTTGCCCCTTTCCGACAGATCATGTCATGATGCATATGATGCCAGGTACGAAAGACTGAAGTCACATGGTTTGACCATGAACCTTGTGGCTTATTCCACTCTCATTGACGCGCAGGCACCAAAGTTCACATTGCTGCCGTTTGTTCGGCAGCTTGTTTTGTTTGGCTTTTCTGAGATGCTGCTTTGATTGATCGCAGCAAAAAGAGTGGATGCCGCACAAAACCCGGGATGCCTGGAGAAAACAACTTGTTTTTTCTAGATGCCCAAAAGGAAAACGCGGTCACACCGAGTCATGCAAAATCAGAATTTGCTTGCGAGGCTCGTGCTGGGAATATCGAGAAAGCTCACGCTTTGTTGGAACAAATGGAGAAGGACCTTTGGCAATGCTGAGCATTGCGATTTTGTTCCTGCCTCGTTTGTCTCAAAACAGATTCAGAAAACACTCTAAAATCCTTCAGATTCACCTTCAAGGTGGCATTTCAACCATTTTGAGTTTGCAGAACCTTGCAAAATTCCTAAATGGGCACAGCTACCAGGATGGTGTGAAGCCAAACACCGTAACATATTCCTCCTTGGTGCCACTGTGCTGCACTGATTTTTGCGAACTTTGTTAAAGCTGAAGTGTCACTGACATCATGTGTGGCTGCGCCAGCAATCAATTGCCGAGTTGCTATGTAGTACCTGTGCGCTCAATTTTCTACAGCCTCAGACAGACTTCCGCTTTGCAACCAAAAGTTACAGTGGTCCCAGATTCCGTAATCCATGTTGCAGCACCCATTGTTATCCTATTTAATGCCTTTGGATTCTTATTTCGCTATTCAGCTGGGTTGTCCAAGACATTTTTGGAAGCCTGTGCAATCTGCGCCCTGCATACTATGGACTACCTGGATCCAAATGTCATCGACCAATGTAGTTCTGCTGTGTTCTGCATTCTTCCAATGTTCGTGTGCGTTGCCAACGTTGCCATCGCTGCCATCATGAGGAAAGGGCACTGCCTCAAGGGTGACCTTGACGGAGCTTTGCAGGTCTTCCACATGAGCCTTGGCAGAGCAGAGCAGAGCGGCAGAGCGGCAGAGCTGTTGTAGCTCTGCCGTATTTGCGCTGTTACTCGTAGCCGGGACGTCAGTCTGTTAGCTGTTGATATCACATGATATCACAGCATATAGATTTACAATCATATACAATCATAATTCTATAAACATATATATATATATATGATATATGTGTTATATAAATAATCATATGAATCATCATCACATATATATGTAATATAATCATATACATGATTATATGTATAATATACATACATTACATTAAATTACCTTGCTTTACGTTCTGTTACGTTACATTACATTCATACAACACATACTTTCTTTCTTTCTTTCTTTCTTTCTTACTTACTTACTTACTTACCTACATACCTACCTACATACCTACATACCTACATCATACCTACATACCTACCTACATACCTACATACCTACCTCCATACCTACATACCTAAATCATACCTACATACCTACCTAGCTACCTACTTACATACTTACATACTTACATACTTTTATACTTACTGTACATGCTTACTTACATACTTATATACATACTTTCCAACCAACCAACCTACCTACCTACCTACATACATACGTACGTACGTACGTACTTACATACCTACCTATCTACCTACATACACATACATACACATACATACACATACATACACATACATACACATACATACACATACATACACATACATACACATACATACACATACATACACATACATACACACAGACACACAGATATACAGACATACATATATACAGACACACAGATATACAGACATACAGATATGCAGACATACAGACAAACAGACATACATACATACAGGCAAACAGACAGACAGACATACATACATACATACATACATCAGCCAAAACTTTGAAAATGATAGGTTCCATATGAGTCTATATGAGTCTATATGATTCTATCTGATTCTATAGATGTCAGACTCAGGATGGTGGCCAAAGGTGTCAAGGCGGACACGGTGATGCATCTCGGACTTGATCTTACCGAATCTTGCCGTTGCTGAGTTGTGTGTTGCTGTGGCGTTCGGTGCCTGCCTTCTGGAGAACATTTGGTGGTGCGCAGTGCAGATGATCCAATGGGCCAAAGGTACAATACAATCCTTGATGGAGCAGTTCGTGCTAGCCGCTTTGCCCTCTGCGACCAGTTCCTTGGTATGTCGGCAAGAACGAAGCTTCATGAAAGCATATGAAAGCATATGAAAGCATATGAAAGCAAGTGAAAGCATATGAAAGTCTACAGTTTCGCTTTCAGCATGGGCGAACTCAGGCTGATTCAGGAAATATCACAGTCTGGCACAGATGTCTCCAACTTTACTCTTTCGATCATGGTGAAGACACTTGGAGTTTCATGGAGATTCAAGAAGCAACAAATTGCAGCAGAGTAAGATAGAAGAAGTACAAGAACTCCTCGAACTCCCTGCCCAGTCTGCATTCGTAAAGCTGTTCGAGGATGTGGGGCAAGCGCAGGCAGCTGGAGAAAGCTTTTGCAGAAGTGAGAAAGTACAGCAAGGCGAGACCGCTCGGCTCAATGTACAACAATGTGGAGACAGGCAAACATTGTGTAGGTGCTGTGTAGACGATGTGTAGACGCTGCGTAGACGTTGTCTAGAGGTGGTGTAGACGTTGTGTAGAGGTTGTGTACAGTATAGTATTGACGTTTGTTGTCACATGCAAAAATCCCGTGTGATGGATGTCCACTTTGTTCTTGAGCTGCCAGGCAGGTACAATGCAATTGGACTCAAAGCTGTGCACATGTGGCGAGCTCAAGCTTTCTGCCTTTGTTGCAGAGTCTTGCAGAGTTTTGCATCTGAAGTGCAAATCGTTTGAACGTGTCCGTTTTTCTTTGTTTTTCTCCGTTGTGGCTGGAGCATGCTGGAGCTGCATTTCGTTAGGCCTCATCAGCGCCTGCTTCCACAACGGAGCCCCAGAAAAGGCACTCCAGGCCTTGCAGGAGGTCAAGTCCTTGCCCAACTGCGATGGATCCGGCCCTAGACTTCCGAATTTCCGTAGCACCGAAGCATACCGTAGCACAGCGTAGCGGCGTAGCATGGCGTAGCACTTCTTCGATCTTCGTCGGACTTTCGAATTTCCCATAGACTTGATCGGCAGATACCGGCAGGATTCGGGGCTTCATGGGGCTTCCATATATTTCATTGACATAACATGTTTCCACATTCACCGCTACATATCCGATACAGGAGAAGTGCTAGATTCGTATGGTGACACTGGCATTACTTTCTATGTTTCCCTCAAGCTTGACACAGCAAGGGTCCACACAGCCCGACCTCAGGACCGGATGTCGGCACATACGAACAGCTAATTGAACAGCTGGTCAAGGTGTAGATTGCCATCGTGTGTTATCATTGCGTTTTTTTAAAATCTTACTTTTTCTTTTGCACAATCACAGCATGTTTCTGCCCTTTTCATTGTCACACCCTGGAATCTTGGGCCCTGTGTTTTTCTCTGGCCACAGCAGGTGCGGCAAAGCCAAGAGGCACCTGGCAAGATGTGTTTCTGAGTTTACATGAGTTTACGGAGAAGTTCAAACGTTTGAAAAAAATTAAACATTTTCAACGGGTAAAAACATATGAAGACAATTGAAAACACAAGGTCGCAGATATCATGTAACAGCACTGTTGCAAAGTGCGAAGAGAAGATGTGCGAAGACGTGCGAATTGCATCGAATTGCAAAGTCTTGATTCTTTGTGAAAGTCTCGGAAGGCAGCGTGCGTAGCCTTGGAAGCCACGTCATTGGCTGCGGACGGAAGCATCAAGCCGCCGCTTGGACGGAAGCCAGAATTCGGCCGTAAGTCCGCCCAAGTTTGGACATTTCGGATGAAGTGGTGAACAGTTAGCGTCGGGTTGATCCACATGACACACATACACACACACACAGAAGACTCTTGAGGTTAAGTGCTTCAGCGCGTGTCTCTCAGACTTTGAGTTTGGATTTTCAGATTTTTTTTTTTCGGTTCAGAATTCACAGAAGGCTTCGCCAATTGCAGCGGCACTTGGTACAGAGTGGTCACAGTCACCTCTGGAACAAGCTCAAGGACAGAGCCCATTCATGCTCTCATTTGGACCAACCATGACCAACCTATGTCAGCCAACATCTAGTGTTGTAGTGTTGTAGTCGATCAAACATCATGAAACGCTGAACATTTGAAAAGGGATGAAAGTGGTGGGTGGATCAGATGTGAATTCCATATGACATGGCGATGGGAATGATGGAACGAGCACCACAGGACGAGTTGCAGGATTCTCAGCTGCCAACTCCGTAGTCCTTGGCACTCGACGATCTCCAAGAACGGTCGATGCACATACCATTGCCAGCTTGACTTGGAACTGGCATGAAAACGTGCGAACTTGTGGTCATTGTGCGGTTCTGTATGTCTTGCAATTTGAGAAGTATAAGACATTATAAGACGTATTCAGAAGTGTCATCAGGCTTTTCGGGGGTTTGTTCAGCCACCGGTGAAGTAGTGCAGAAGCAGACATCAGAGACCCTCAGAGGAAATTGTCGAACTGCTCTACATCTATTTCACTGGCTCAGCTGATACAATCATGCGATGCCAGACCAAAGACAATGTAGTGCATACTTCGGCCAGCCCGCAGTACTTGTTGAACAGTCACCTTTGTCGCTTTTGATTTTAACGATTTAGGACATCCGTAGGGGTTGTATGAATGTGCCAAACATAGTCCGACATCTTGAGTGTTTGTAAACCCTCTGAGTATCTAAACTTGAAGTATTTGATCAGCTGGTAACCAGCTCAATTCCTCCTCTTCTGGGGAAAAAGCTTGGAGCCATGGTCAGTTTCTCTGATGCAAGCCGGTCTAGCCACCCATCAGAAGGAAGAGCTTGGTATCTTGATATTCCTCTGAACATGTTGACAGAAATCAAACAGAATTGAACACATTTCGTGGACAAATATGTTCCAATGCCTAGCAATGAAGTCACTGCAGTGAGTGGATCTTCACGCAGGAACATCGAGTGAGCGCCCAGCGAAGAGGCCTAGGCAACGGTGAGCCACTAAGCCATAATGGGCGATCATCGGATCAGTCAGAAGAATTTTTCTGGTGTTTTTTTTGTCCTAACGCCCTGGCCCTGGCAGGCTTGCTGACTGCGTCTCTGCCGCCAGCGCTGGAAGCTGGGAATGGGCGCAGGCGCGTCGATGGAGACATTCGTTGTTCACTTGCAAAGAGTTGTTCAACGAAAAAGTGACGAAGTGCTCTTAGGAGATCTTAGGAGTTGAGGTACCTGAACTGTTTGCGTGTCTTGTGCTGAGGTGATTTCTGCTGTACAACCAGCGATCGTCGCGCTCAAGGTGCTACTAGTGATACTAGTGATACTAGTGATACTAGTGATACTAGTGTCTAGAGGATCTAGAGGGTTGACACAAGCGGAAAGAACAACCATGCTGCGCGTCAACTGGGTGCATTTGAGGTGACTTTCGTGGTCAGCTTTGAAGATGAGCAGGCAACAGTGGCCTTGGGCACTGGTTTCGTGGTGGACAAGGAAAGGGGCTTGATCCTCACGAATCGACACATCACAGGTGTGGGACCTGTGCGTGCCCTGGCCATCTTTGATCGACATGAAGAGCTGGAAGTGGAGGTGGGGGGATTTGCAATGAGGATAACATGGTAGAAGTCGGCTAGCAACAACAAATTCATCAAATTCAAGATTTTAAAGGCCGAAATTGTGTAGTGAGATAGTGAGATGAGTTTGTTTCCTTCATTCATAAACTTAGCGACTTAGCAACACTTTTCTGCTTCCCTTTTTCATCCTTTTTCCAACATTTTCCAACTTGGCAGGTGGTCTATCGTGATCCCATCCACGACTTCGGTTTCTTCCGTTACGATCCCAAGAAGTTGCGTTTCACAGAGCCTGCAGTGATTGCTTTGGAGCCCAAGGATCTGCGAGTTGGTACGGAGATCCGGGTGGTGGGCAATGATGCAGGGGAAAAGTTGCAGATTCTGTCTGGAACCATTGCACGCATCGACAGAAATGTGCCGGAGTTCAACACGGTGTACAACGATGAGAATACTTTCTATGCTGGTGCTGGAGCTGGTACTAGTGGTGGGTCAAGTGGATCTCCAGTACTGAACAAAGCCGGGCATGCCATAGCACTAAATGCAGCTGGAACAGATGGTGCTGCCAGTGCATTCTTTTTGCCCTTGGACCGAGTGTGTTACACTTTGTCCTCCTTACAAAAAGGTATTCCGGTGCTGCGTGGCACTTGCCAAGCTTCTTTTCTCTTCAAGGCTTTTGATGAGTTGATGAAGGTGGGCCTTCTGGATTCTCATGAGCGAAGCGTGCGGGAGAAGGAAAAAGAAGCAACTGGGATGCTCTTGGTCGACTCTGTTCTTTGTGAGCAGAAAAAGCTTCGGCCTGGGGATATTTTGCTAAGCCTAGAAGGAGAGGTCTGCATTGATTTCGTTCACCTCGAGAAGATTTTGGACTCCAAAGTGGGCTCCTCTGTGGAGATCAAGGTCTGCAGAGGTGGGAACAGAGTGGGAACGGAGTCGAGTCAGTCGAGTCAGTCTGAGACAGACTTGGTGCAAACAGGTGCAAACATGTCATGTGCAAACTAAATGAAGACGGAGTGCCAAGATATGCCAAGATGATTTCTTATGATTTATTGATATCCCGTGCCCGCATGCAAAGAAGACACATGACATGAAGAGACAAGGTCCTTGACAAAGTCTGCTGTCCTGCGGTATCCTGCGGTATCCTGCGGCTTTGCCCTTGGATGTCGCCAGGTGGTAACGAGCTATTGCTCAGTGTGGAGGTGCTGGATCTTCATTCCCTGATTCCAAGGACCCATTCCAAAGTGACGGCGTAAGACTTGCTATGACTTGCTGACGTGTCAAATCGTGTCAACATGTCAGCATAAAATAGCATAAACGTGAAAGGAATATTCCACGCATCAAAATGAGATCAGAATTTCCCAGGAGCTACGTGTTCATCCAGTGCTGTGCAGGAGCTACGTCGAGCTAGGATTGGATGTGGTCCATGGTCTTGGTTACCATGCAGCTCGCAAGACTCATCTCCCACTGGACAGTGGCGTGTACTTGGCACGCCCTGGCTATGTCTTTGAATCCTTGGGCTGTGATTGGGGCTCCCTCATCACCTGCGCTCCTTAGCATGATGGGTATAGAATGGACAGTGCCAAATCAGACACTTCTGGACCAGAAGGCCGAACAGAATTGGGACTGCTGGCACCTGAGGTCAATGGACAAACTGTGAAAGCGATTGAAGACTTCGTGAGAGCAATTGAAGACATTCCAGATCGCCAGTATTTTCCTGTCCTGTGGTATGACATGCGGGAGTTCCGTGACATAGATGCACTTGGAAGACGTAATAAGGACTGTAGTCCTTCATCTTTGAGCCATTGGTGCATGTTGGTGCAGAACTTTCTTTTGAATTTTGCGTGCCCTGTTTCCCAAGCCGTTAACCTTGCTGACTCAAATACATCAAATACACCCACATGCACATGATGAAAACCATTTGTTGAATACGTTGAATGTTTCTGTGGATTCAAGGCAGGGACCGCACTTTGAAAACTGGCTTTGCCAAGATGTCGAGGGCATGGTCCCCTCTGAAGATTTGGCGATGCCAGTCGGTGGCAGATGCATCGCCAGAAGAGTGGGAATCCGAGGACAACTCCCCGACATGTCCAGTGATAGAATCCCAAAACGAAAATCTTGACTCTTGACCGGGAAGTTTGGTCGTGTGTTGTGGTAGGATTTTGATATGAGCTTACTCATGGTGACTCATGGTGACTCATGGTGACTATGTTTCGTTTGCGATTCCCATGTCACGAACAGATGATGAACAGATGATGAACAGATGATGAACAGATGATGAATGATGTGTCTGACAGGAGTTGGCTGTGCCTTCACGACCAGCACGTCTCCCTGAGCCCCCTGGGCGTTTCGGGGTGCTGACGGGGGGTGACCGTCTGGTGCGGCAGCTGCAGGTGTCTCGGATTCGCAGATTTCAGTGGATTTGTTGGATTCATTCAGATTTGAGGCAGATTCAGCACATTGAGCTGTAATTAATTGTAATATCCAACACATTATGCTGTAATTAATGCTGTAATTATATAATTAATTGTTTTGAGTGTTCTTATCCGATCTTATCCGATCTTATCCGATCTTATCCGATCTTATCCGACACATCAGTCAAGTGACCCTTATGTCCAGGCATCTCTGGCACCTCAGTTGCATTTGGACGTTTTTGGTGGATGGACTCGTCCATGATTGTCAATGGCAAAAGATGCGAAATGATTCCACATGCTTGTATGGCCACATCAGACTCTTGCAAGATCTTCAACATCACTGACCAACACTGATCTCATTTTCGGAAGTTGTGAGAGATGACTTTAGTTCATATTCACGGCTGACAGCTGAGATGGAATAGAATCAAAGAAGTATAGCCTGGAAGGACCATGGTGGACCTAAACGCAAGAATACATCATTGGAACTGACCGTCTTTCTGTTTCCTTGGTTTGATCTAGGCCCTGAAGGGGGCAGTGGAAAACAGAACATGAATCGCACGCCACGTGATTATCAATCATCGCACGCACACAGACAATCACACTCACACATGTCATATCACACACTCATGAACATTCATACACTGAATCATGTACAGATACATTACATTCAAATAAATTCAATTAATACTTCCTCGTACATCCTCGTACTATCTATTTTTTTTTATTTTGGCTTTTTCAGGAGGTGCGTGTGCACGTTCTGTTGATTCATCTTGGCTGCAAGGTGACGATCCGCTTCCGGACAGACCAGCGTTTCTGCACTGAGGCGCGACAGTTCTTATGCCCAGAATTTGCTGCTCTCTCTCTCTCTCTCACTCTTTAGTGTGAAAACAAGAAATATATATATATATATATGTATATATATATGTATATATATATATAAAACACATGTCAAAATCATATGAAGAATCTTTGTCCATCACTTGTCCGTGATTTGTCCATGGCTTTCCAGATTGGAAACATGCCTCTCCGGCTTCATTTTGTTTCGCGGTATTCCGGAACTGTTCAGGCTTTGGAAAGTGGATCATCCGAAGGTGTGGGCCTTCTTGCCTACAGCTCGGTTACGGGTTACGGTGACGGTGGTGACGGTGGTTTTCCCGGCTACGGGAAGCGCAGTGCTTTTTTCGACGCTGCGACGCCTGGCGCTCTGTTTCCTGCCAAGGTGGATGCAAAACGAGGCCTGGTTCTCACAGATCGACACTCTGCTCCACAGTCCCTAGGTGCAACAGAGGCCGGATGCCAAGGGATGCCAAGGGATGCCAGCAGCTGGGCAGCTGGGCAGCCGGGATGGACAGCAGAACGCATCAGATATCAAAATGCTATAGCATCAGATGGCATCAGATGGCAACAGATGGCAACAGATGGCAACATCTGCATTTGCACTCTGTGGCACAGCTAGTGGCCCTAACTGTCAGGTGACTCTGGGAGGATGCGCGACGGTGGATGCAGAGGTGAGCGCGGAATCTCACTTGTCACTTCTTGTCACCAGAGACAGAGCCATCAAATGCCATCAATATGTTGAATTCAGGTCTTGTTCATCCATCCTCAGCACAACATTGTCAGGGGCTGAAAATCTGCAAACGTGTTCAGGGAGTAAGGATGAATTTGGACATGCCATGTTCATAGATTTTCTGCGAATCTAAGAGATTTGGTCTCTACGATCTCTCTACGATCTCTCTACGATCTCTCTACGATCTCTCTACGATCTCTCTACGATCTACGATCTCTCTACGATCTCTCTACGATCTCTCTACGAGTCTTCGACATCTCCCTTTTTTTGCGGATCCAAGGCGCTGTTGCGCTGTGACCCAGTAGCTGTGGGCCTGCTGTTGAAGGGCCGTGTGCCCTTAAGCTCGGCCAGGAGCCGAAATTGTGAAGAGAGATGAATCGCACAGAGATATCTTTTGCGAAAAGACTACACAGAGATAAGACAAGAAAAAGGAGATAGGATAGGGTAGGATAGGATTAGATTATATAGATTAGATTCGGTTAGATTAGGTTAGATATAATAAATACACATATACTTTGATACAAATAGAAACACACACACACACACCACATAATCTGTAGTCTAGATTATAGAGACTTATTATGTGATACATTGTGATCTTATGTATGCACATATCTGCGCATAATCTAATATGCAGAGTCTCACAACAAGACAGACGTTGGTTTTGGCCGGACTCCTCGCAAAAAGGGCGACGGCCGCAGGATTGCCAAAGGCAAAAAGGCAGGTCTCCGCGCTGGAGAAGACGTCCACTTTGTGGGCTTTGACAGCCAGGCGTGGCGAAGACTCGCACCCTGAGAGTGTCAAGACAGTGTGAACAAGAAAGATAGCGACGCTTAGCAACAATATTCCACGTTCAACGAATATCTGTGGCCACTGAGTCCTATTTGTTACTAAAATATACTAAAATGCGGGAGGCTGGAATGGGGGTAGAAACCTTGTAACTTATAACCTTGTAGCCACAGCCAATAGGTGTGTGAAGAAAGTGATCACCGTTTTGCGACATTGCGCTTAATTATATGCAATGTCGAATTCCGATGCAGTACCACGTCCCCTGCCTGGCCAGGGCAACGTTTTCAGTGCCGAGTGCAAGGTCTAAGTTGTGTTTTTTTTTCACTTTTGTTTTGCATGAAAGCACGTGAAAGGGTGCCAAGAGTCACATGCCACAGATGCGGGATGTGCAACAACGTGCTATCCAGTGACAGGTCTCGGCAGTTTACTTGCCAAGTGGCAAAGATGAGCAGTACACCCAGTGTATTGTGCAAAGGCTGCAAGGGCATGATTTGATACAGCTTCTGATGGGCCAGATCACTTACCCTGAGGTTGTTTGTAGTGCAATTCACCAGAGGTACGAATCGGTATTATCAATTTCTGTGAAGAACATCGTTTATATTAATATTCGATATTTTGATATGAACATATGGAACATGATTGACAACGATTGATTTTAAGTTTTGTTGTGGCTTCTTTTTGGTTGGTCCTGAGGTTTCCTCCCTGGTCGGTGCCGCGCTTTCGGGAGCGCAACCTGGAGGTGAAGCAGCACCATGTCCATGTAGTTCTACCAGTTGGGGAACGTAGTTACGTAGTTCCATGCGGGCATGACAGTTGACTGCAATTTTGGGGTAAGTTCGCTTCTGTGTACTGAGTATACTGGTAGGCCGATCTGAATTGTATGCGCTTGTGCTGCACTAGTTTTGTGCGACATGGACAGATTGCAGTGCTGACCGACACTCCAGAAGATGCACGGGGCGGAGTCCTTTGCGATTCACGTGGGAAGCCAAGTTGATGAACGCGCAAAAATCTGGCATGTTTTTTTTCCCCCTCCCCAGGATCTATCAAGCCGTTTTGAATATTGTTGATCAAGGAACACGATGCACGATGCACATCTGGCATCATCTGGCATCATCTGGCATCATCTGGCATCATCTGGCATCATCTGGCATCATCTGGCATCATCTGGCTATGATACATATATATATATATTATATATTATATATATATTATATTATATATATATTATATACACATAGTTTTAAGGTCTTTTGAAGTGACATGAAGAAAGCCACACCACGCCGCTGATGGGCCTTTGGTATTCTGAGATCGGCAGGTGGCGCAGTGCGCGCACTTTTCGCATCTTTCGACTTTCAAACAGCGCGCAGAGACTGCAGAGAGGATTGCGGGGTGAAGAAATTGATAGTGTAGTGATGTGTAGTGTTGGCAGGTAGGCAATTGCACCCTTTTAGTGTCCAAGAGCCAACTTGAAAAATGGTTTGATGATTTGCCTTACCATTTCGTGGCCAGGAGACAACAGAAGCCTTTGGGATTCCGGCCAACGTGTTTCTGCCCATGCTGGAGGCTGGATGGCTGTTAGACCAAGTCCACCATTGGACCATGTGTTGCTGAGTCACCTGGCAGGCCATCAGAAAGGATGCCACGATAACGCCAGAGGTCCGGAACTAGGGCCAAAAGTTATGTTTTGAGGGCCTGGTCACCCTTTGTTTTGGGCAATGTCATGGGGTTTTCGAATGTTTTCGACTTGGGATGTTCTTGCCGTAATTCTTCTGCGAGACAAGAGACAAGGCAGACGGCAGACCGGCAGACCCATTCTAGCCATGCTAGTCTTTGGTCGGAAGGTTAGATCCTTGGACATGGAGGTAGCAGCTGAAGCCTGAGTCAAGCGCATCCACCCAAGCATTAAATTCGACAAATTCGCATATTTGAATCATTTTGAATCAAAGAAAAGCCTATTTTGACATTCGATCAATTCTAGGCAAATCCTAGGGTCCAAGGCGCATCAAAATGACACAGCCATGACAACCATGCCAAGAGCATCCAAGAGCATCCAAGAGCTATGATGATGCCATGACTTACCTGAGGCAGTGGACTTGGCCACCCTAGCGCGAGGGGCAGGCAAGCTTCCCAAGAAGTGGATGCAGGCGCGGAAGGAGATGGGGTGCATCCATTGGATCAGGGTTGCATCAGGGTTGCATTGTGTCAATTGTGTCAATTGTGTTACAGCTACACAATGGTCATCACGAGTCGTCCTGAGTCATCACGAGGCATCGGAAGTCTTGTCGCTAGGCAGTTCTTCAGAGATGTGGCCAGCAAGGGCAGGTGGTGGAGCTCCCAGAGAGCTCAACATTTGTGTCTCTTTCTTGTTCTTTCGATTAAGTCAACTGAAGTCGATTGAATTGGATATAATTGGATTAATGTGGGATTCTGTTGGATTCTGATTGTTTTTTGGTAAACAAAAATGGCTCCAAAGAATCAAACATATTCCAAGGCTCATTTTCCAAGGCCAGGGCTATTTGCGTGTGTCGCGTGCTGGCCACTGGGGCCTCGAAGGCAAAGCTGCGACCTGGTGACGCCAAGGCCTTGGCGTCGACTCGGCGACTTGTAGACTCAGCAGTGCCAAGTTCAAAGTGATCGGGACACGGCCCCCATGTATTGGAGTGTACCATGATGAATCATGAGTGTATCGATATCTACACTGAATCTACAGAATCTACACTTTTCAAATCTCATGCTGAAACTTCTAGCCAATTTCTGGGTTTGAGATGAGCAGAAACTGAAAGAGCGAAAGACCAAAAGACCCAGGTCCTCCTCAGCGTTGCGGGGAAAACCATTGCATGCGCATTGGACGTGGAGGACATGATTGGGCACCTGGGACACGGGAAGAATTTTAAATGCGTGAGATGGAAAAAAATGACCCTTGACTTAAAGATGATGCAGACGATCAAGTTCAGGGCGCTTTCTTACTTTTTCCTTTCAAAATGTTCAAGCTTAAGCCTGGAATGGCTGGATATCCAAGAATTCCAAGACAAGGTTGGTGGATTGTGATGGATTACGCATTCCTGTTTCATCCCTTTCATCCCGCGATGCCGAGGAGGCATTGGCAAATCCCACCACAAAGCGGAAACGTGAAGCTTCAAAGGACCTGAAACGAAAACTGCACAAGAAGTCAATTCGAAATCTTGTGACTTGTGATATTCCTCAGCATTGCTGGGTTGCCATAAGCCGTAGCACTACATTCCCATGATGGTTTGTGTGCATCCCATCTTTGTTTAGCTTTCATTTCATCCTTGGTGGGAAGTCTAGAGTTGCCAATGTTATATTGCAGCAAACGATTTGTAGTTGTCTTGCAAGGCAGACCAAGAAAATTCGGATGTCTAATCTAATGCTATTTGTGTTTTTGCTATATATATTCAAATTGGATTTGGATGATTCGTTTCATATAGTTCAGTGATAGTTGAAACACAGAACCCAAGCGTAGTGGATCATTTCTACCAGACAGAAAGGCAGGCAATATCAATATGGAACAACATCGAGTTATAATTGGATGACGCAAAAGACTGGCAAATAAAAATTGAACACAAACAGCAAATATCACCAAACATGTAAGTCCATGCAATGAGGCCTGTTGCCCAGAGACTTTGTCTTCCCAGAAACCATTGCAAATTTCAGCCTTTTCACATTTGATCTGCTTTCTTTCATGGATTAATTAGCGATATTCTGCCATCACTTGTGCCTTCAAGAGATTTAAGACCGTACTCCCGTTGCAGGAGGTGGAAATTTGTGTTTTGCGAGATCAGAAAGAGGCGGTGCCGAAACGAGACCGAAGCCTGTAGATCCTGTAGCTTGCAACGTTGGCAGATGGCTCATTGCAGCTTGCCACTGGCACTGCCGAAATCTGCCGAATGCTTCATAGTCGCGCAGGTAGTGGAGCACGTGACTCCAAGCGTCCTTGGCTCTGAGGAGATCGTTTCACTTGCAGCGTGATGCTATGGATGTGAAACGCTCTTTTCAGTGTACTCTCTTTTGGTTGTCGGACTGCATAGAAGCACCACGTGCCACAAAAAGTGGATGAAACCGAAATGCTCAGTGTTCAAAACCCCTGTTGTTACTATCCAATATATTGGGGATTATTGAACACTGCTCAAATGTCAATTGAAATGTCGATCTATTTCATTACTTTCTGAGCTGCTCCGACTCACGCGAAGCACACGGACTTGTCATGGCGCGGAATCGGCAAAGAAACCTTTGGCCTGAACCACTGAGCTGACATGATGTCATAATGTCATGATGTTGACACGTTCATCAATACTTAGATATACTTAGATAGTAGACCAATGTAGACCAAATGGTGAGAACTGCGGGCTGGGTGACACATCGCAGGATGACGCGGAGCTTGTCATTTGGTCCGGGATGGTGCTGCGGCGAACACCCAGGTGGAAGCGACGCAATTCCGACTTTGGGAGCTACTCACCACGCTTCATGTGAAGGGTTTGTGCAGCGTTAGATTTGAAGAGTCTGACGAGACATTATTATGCTGATTTCTGTATCCACGAAGAGAATCCAGGAGAGATTTTGGAAGAACCATGGGAAAAGAGCAATGCAATAAAGATATATAAAGATCGTTGTTCTGGGAAGCGCTCACCATGGCACTGTAAATTTACAGTTTTATTTTACGCTTTTGGCTTCAGGAAAGAACACAAACATGCACTGTATACTACTCAATGCATCTAAATGCCGGCTTCGAGACCAACAGGTTGTGAACCACAATCTTTGACACCCCAACACGAAAGCGTAAGTATTTACTGTGGTTTTTACGCCTCAACTTACAGCGCGCTGGTATCGGTGTTTTGACATTTCTCAGCAGCAACAGCCAAATCGTCAAAGCACGAAAAACAGTATTCCAAAAACAATGTTTTTGTTTCTTAGCCGCGCAACACACCACCCAAACAATGTTGATGGGTCCAACAGACGTCCAAACTTAGGGTCCAACATGCCCTTAGAAAATGGAATCTCACAAAATGCAAAAAAAAAAACACTAAAACGCGGCTACCCACGAATTTCGGGCGCATTGCTAAGCTTTTTTGAATTGTGCCCGTGCATCACACGCGTCTCACGGTTCCTGAGTGGGCGGATTTCTGTTTGATCCAGAATCTAGAGCAGAATCCAAACTTTTTTGCATTTGCTTCGAGGGATCAGAACGATTCATATCCTGTCAGGTGTATTTTGGAACGCTGCGGTGAAAGTGTGGCACCTCGCGCTGGTGGAGTCTTCGTGCAGTGCGTGCTTGCAGGGTCCCCCGCAGAGACAAGGTCACTCCATCCGTCCTCGACCCAGATTCAAAAGTTTTGGAATCTTAGCAAAATGTGTTCTGAATCATGTTTAGATGCGTTTCACTTCCTTCAAGTAAGAGACATGAAATCCAGACCTGGTAGACTTGACCAGGCACTGTTTTCTAATGGAGATGAATGGAAAGCCGGTGAATACTTTGAGCTGCTTGGTAGCGAAGACAGGATGTGACGAAATGATGTGCGGTCTGTTCGCTTCTGATCCAAGCAAAGAATCAGAGTTCCTTGCCTTTTCCTGCCCAGAAGATGTAGGATTGTTTCAGGACTGCCACCTGTGAAGTAATCACAGCTTGTGGACCAAGGTGATGTTCTTTTAGGTGGCCAAAGCGAGAAGAAAAGGTGGCCCAGCTGCATTTCCCGAGGTGACATCGCCAGCAAAAGCTTCCCACATCGCTACATTTCCCATGTCCACCCTGATTTCGGAGGAATGAAAAGCGGGCTCCGTACGTGCGGCTGTTGCTGTTGGACATGAATGGCCAGGTCGGCTTCACTTGCAGATTATGCAAGAACACATTCTCACCATTTCTCACCATGATATGCGATTTCTTGTCACAGAACACGACAAACGATTTTTGGGCCAGGAACATGTCAGGGCGATCCAACCTGATTCGCTCTTCTTTCCAACACTGCACCTCCAACGCAACAGTCTTCCACTGAGCTTTCAGAGTGCAACATTTTTTCCAAGAGCCTCTCTATTCTTGAAAACATGAGGTCTGGGACGATGGAGCTGTACCCAAAAAGATTGAAAAAGATGAAAAAAACGGCAACGACATTCAAATATGGGACCAATTCCATCCGTATATCATAAACATATATTTAGATGATTTGGATTCTGTATATTTAAATGTTTAAATGGCTGGGCGGGCCTATAAAAACATTCCCGGAGGTAATCAAAAATATAATATAATATAATTTCAATTTTTAAAATTTCATATATTTGGATATAGTGATTATATATTAATCATATAATATAGCGACACACTGAAACTTGGAATACGATTGATTTTGGAAACGGCGCCCTATAAAAAAACGCAGGGAATTTCAAGCAAGTGGCGCCCGCTGTTTTTTTTTGCCTTGTTTTGTTAGTCTGGGCGTCTTAGTAATGGAAATTTTAGAATGCGTGACCACTGACAAATTAATTATATAATTGTATTTCTATTAATATTATTATAATTTTAATTGGGAATTATTAAATTACCGCGATTTTTAAATATAAATTTAAATAATTTAGAATACTATTATTTATCTTTAATTTTTATTTTTAATTAATTATTACATAAAACGGAACTGCTGTCGAAAAAGTGGGCGCCCCTGTCGGAAACCCGCCAATTGTAGCCGGAATTGACCCAATACATAATACAATTATGCCAAAAATCCCAAATTTTCCGGAAATTTCGGCCAATACCCCGAATTTTTCCGGAAATTTGGCGATTTTGGATTTCCAAAACTGGCAAATTTTCCGGAAAATTGCTGGTTCCGGATTTCGACGGAATCGCGAAATTTTCCCGAAAATTGGTGCTTTTGGCACAAGCCTCACGCATTGGGGTTTTATTTCTGGCTGCTGCATTGAGGCTCACAGTTGACACTTAGCGTCCTTCTTTAGCTATAGTATTGGAACTTAACAGCATTGTTACAATTTGGCCTTCTTTAGCTATAGTATTGGAACTGAACAGCATTGTTACAATTTAGAAACATATGACAACATCGCGTTTTTCCAAAACATCGTCGTTTTTTCACGGAACATCGTTTCTTTTTGAACAACTTCTTGGATCTGGTAGTATTTGCCGTAGCTCCTCCGGTGTGATCGCGCCTTCGGTCCCTTCGTCATCATCTCAGACAGGAACTGGGATCTTTGCAGCAAAAGGACTGAAAGGTCCTTCAAGGTGAATGCACTACCACTTCAAGCTTTGTTCGAGAATAGACAGAGACTTTGGATTTGATTCACACTTGCACTACAAAGACTTCAGTCATTGTAAGATAGCCGTACCAGCTTGGTGAGGTTGTTCCTATCCACCCCTGAAGGAAGTCCCAGAGGGCGATTGGAACTCAGCGACGGTGACGGTGTAGTTGCTCTGGAAACCGTGCAAGGCATGTATATATATATATATCAATAAATAATTGATATATATATATTTGTATATAAATTATATATATATATATGTGATTGCAATAAGATGATGACTCGCAAACTTGAGCCTTGAAAAAAACACATATATATATATATCAATAAATAATTGATACATATATATATATATCTATATATATATATTTGTATATAAATTATATATATATATATATTTGTATATAAATTATATATATATATATATGATTGCAATAAGATGGTGACTCGCAAACTTGAGCCTTGAAAAAAATCAGGCTATTATTTGTCATCAAAGCATTCCCAAAGGACACTTTCCGGACTTGCTGCCATTAACACTTTGAAATTACATCCAACTGGGCAAGGCCACTGCGAGCAGACTAACCGGCTCCAGGTTCCGTTGCAAGCTTTGATCGTTGGTGATCATTTCCATAACGATTAAATATCATACGGAATCAAAACAGCACATGCGATCTTCTGCAGGCAGAGGCGCAAGCTTTGGCGATACTTTGAAGGCACCCCAGTTGACTAGCAGCAGAAAACACCATACAAGCCAAATTCGGTAAGGGCATGTTGCTGCTACGTGCCGCTTTTACTAACAGCACACATGCGATGCAGTTGCTGTTGTTTTGATGTGGCGTCGTAGCGCCGGCAGTTATAGTGTAGCTGTTTTCCGGATACCCAAGTAAATATTTCCGGTATTGCAGATTTGCTTTGACAGCACTATGACAACAGATCAGTGCGATTTGCTGAATGAATGCTGGCATGGTACCTAACCCAACTTCGAGACCCAGTGGCTCCAAGCCAAGCAATTCAGCAGTCCATTGTACGCCTTTCTCTTAATTGCTGTTGCCACGCGCACAATCTGAGCTGATATGTTCGAGTGAATTTTCAAGTCACACCTAAACTACTTCTATTAGTGGAGTTACGAATCGCACCTTGGCGAATGGCTGCACAGCACCATGGGCGCCCATCTGCTCTGCGACCTCGGTGCCTATGGCCAGATTGTATTCGCCGCAGCAGCGAAGGCGGTTACTGCGCAAAGCATGCTTCTATGGACAGAGGCGCTGGCCCGCCTAGCTCAGCAGTGCCCAGGGCACCGCGTCCTGTGCCGGTCCCTAAGCGACAAAATCATCCAGGTGACGACAATCCCATTTGTGTTGCTACCAATGTAGATATAGATACTTATTCCGACAATATGGTGGAAACTCTTGCTTTGGAAGGGATGACATTGAAATGTTGTTTTTGCGGCTCTTGGAATTTTCCTGCTGAACAAGTGCTGTCTGGAAATAAGAAACGTGTTACATTATGTTACAAAGGTGGAAAATTGCAAGATTTGCCGGCTCTGCCGGATGCTCCAGAACCTTTGCGCACATGGCTTCGAGGCAATGATGCGACTTCGAAGCATTTTCGGCAACATGTTCGCCGCTACAATGCTGCTCTGTCGTTTGTGTCATTTGGGGCTTCGGTGGAGATTAAATCAAGTACTCCAGGCACACAAGCACCACCTGTTACCGTTATTCACGGAGCTGTCTATCACCATTCGCATCCACTTCGTGCAGATGATCCTGCCAATGCACGTTTTGCCCAGCTTTATTTATACGATGCTGCTGAAGCATCGCAACTTCGATCGACCAAGGATCGTGTCCTGCGCGTGGATCTCTTATCCCAGCTTGCAGAGATGTTCCATGCCATTGGCAACCCGTATGTGGAAGCCTACAAGCGCATGGGGGAATTGACCCAGGCCCACTGATTTCATTTTAATGCAATTAGCAGGATTCATTTGAGCGTTTTCCAACATACCCGGCAAAAAGCAAAATAACATATATTGAATGCCTGCACCATCAGTTTTTATAAAAAAAACGCTTGTGGCCAGGAATTTTCCTTCATAGGTTTCTTTGCAACATCTTTTTCCAACACTTAGATGTAAAAGTTTATTCCACGCTCATTGTCCCTTTTTGTTGGTGAGAGCTTCCTGTCGCAAGGACCTTGCTGCAGCAGCAACTCGACGCCAATAGCAACAGCTTTTCCTGATCACTGGTTTTCACCGGGCTGCCGGAATTTTGCACATATTTTTACCTGGTTATGTTATGTGTTATTTCTATATATATATACATCTCTCTGTTTCCATCTCTTTCTCTCTCTCTCTCTTATTTTTTTTAGAATGAGCTAACGCCTTGGTGCCGCTGACCCCCTCTCAAATAGGCCATGGTTTGAATTGAGTGCAAGAGATCCTGACTCCGGTCATGTGGCCTTGGACTGCTTGCTGGGGTAGCTTTTGCCTGCGGAGTTAGGCGTGGTAAGACGTTTTTAAGGGTTTTAAGCGTTTTGAGGGTTTGAGGGCTGGTAAACGGCAGTCTTGAAGGGGTGCCTGTTGGGGTAGCTTTAGCGTGGCAAACGGCAGCCTTGAAGGCCCATTAGAAGCTATTGCTGTGGCCTTGGGGTGCCTGCTGGGGTAGCTTTTGCCTGCGGGGTTGGGCGTGGCAAGAGCTTTTGAAGCGTTGTAAGGGTTTTGAGGATTTGAGGCCTGGCAAACGGCAGCCGGGAACGCCCATACAAGCTATTGCTACAACCGTGCTTCCGATAAGAAGCCATTGCTGTGGCCTTCTGGAGTGCCTGTTCGGGTAGCTTTTGCCTACGGGGTTGGGCGTGGCAAGAATTTTTTAAGGGTTTTGTTTTAGGCATTTGAAGCGTTTTGAGGGTTTGAGGCCTGGCAAACGGCAACCTTGAATGCCCATAAGAAGCCATTGCTGTGGCCTTGGGGTGCATGTTGGGGTAGCTTTTGCTTGCGGGGCCAAGAAGCTTTTTAAGCATTTTAAGGTTTTAAGAGTTTTAAGCCTTTTGGACCCGGCAAACGGCAGTCTTGAATGCCCATAAGATGCCATTGCTGTGGCCTTGAGGTGCCTGTTGAGTAGCTTTTGCCTGCGGGGCCAAGAAGCTTTCTAATGGTTTTGAGGGTTTTTAACCTTTTCGGCCCGGCAAACGGCAGTCTTGAACGCCCATAAGATGCTATTGCTTTAGCCTTGAGGTGCCTGTTGGAGGGCTTTTGCCTGCGATGCCAAAAGGCTTTGTAAGAATTTTAAAGGTTTTAAGTTTTTTGGGCCATTGCTGAGGCCTTCGGATGCGGGGTTTGTCACGGCGAGACAAGTTCCACACCTGTGGTCCCAGGCGCCGCCCCGGCCTTGGCGCTCGCCTTGGCGAAGGCCGGGGTCGGCGGATACACTTATACCTGGATCTTCCAGGTATGCGTTTTTTTGATCTTTTACTGAAAAGCAGAAATTTCTGCTCGATTTTTTCAGAATCGCCTTTTGTCTTCAGAATCGCTTGTCGGACAATCATGAAACCGAAACTGCCCTAACCAAATTACTCCACTAGACATGCTTTGATTACCCAAATTACCTAAATACAGTTTCGTATATGTCTTGGTTTACCCAAACTTTCCCACCAAATGTCTTAGTTTTAAGTAGTTTAAGTTTCATCAATAATTATCCCAACAAATTTCATTGCTTGCACAAACTATCCCAATGCATTTCTTGGTTTGGCCATGCCATCCCAGTAGAGTTTTTTCCCCACCTGCCAGGTGAGGGTTGTTAGATTTTATGTCAGTTGCCTCCTCCTCCTCCTCCTCTTCTCCTTTCCTCTCCTCCTCGTTTCCTCTTCTCCTCCTGCCG